CGGGGGATGAGATAATTTGGAAGTTATAAGTATTATTAGAAAGAGAAAGTCTTTTCGTTTCTCATATTATTTTTAGATTGTATTATTTTTAATTGGTTTATTTTTTATAAAATTCTTAGATTTTCTTATTAATTTCGAAATAAAGATTTAATAATTATTGTTCATAATTATTATTAATATGCATTTATATTTAATATATTTATTGATGATGAATTTGATCAAAAAAATTTTTATACTTTATTAAATTACTTGTTCGCCATAAAAATTGGTTTCATTTTGATAATATTTTTATCAATGATTACTTTTGATTAGTTATTTTTCTATGTGTATTGCACTATTATTTGTTAAAAATTTCATAAAGAATAAAGAAGAAGACTTTTCTAGCGAATGGATAGAATAATTCTTCGAACTTGGATAGCATTTCGTTAATGGTGGTAGAATGGCTCAGTGGGTTGTTGTTCAGTTCAGAGCGCCGTTGCTGAGGATTTTTCGTCGGAGGAGTACACCTGTTCGGGTGATACTGGCGACTTGTCTGCACTGCTAAGGTTCTCCCTGGCATATTTGTTCAGTACGAATAAGCCAGCGGAGTGAGTAACCAGTAATGGTGAGGGCTATTTAAAAAAAATTTCGTTAGAACCTGTTAAACTTACAATATCGCATATAGGTTAAGTTTATTTTAGCTTCTACTTATCTTCTTATCATCACCGTTGATAGAGAGAAACAGTATGGCTGATTGTTAGTAGTACTTTAAATTGCCAATATTTTAGATAGCATGATCGTTGATCCTTGGAAGAGTTAAATCTATTAAATCTATTATCTATTAAATCTATTAAGAAAACCTATTATTTAATAAAATCCCAGTGGTGCTGAAAATCCACCAGTAGTTATGCTCATGGATGAATTTTTGGTAAAATTTTTTTAATACTATTAATACGTATGCGAATAATAAATATAATAAATGCTAGCCATTCAATTTGAATGGGATAATCCCTGAAACGAACGGAAATAATTGATAAGGTTTTTTAAGGGCTTTTAACAGCTATTCATTCAGTCCACTTTCACAATTTTTGAACATTATCATTTCAGTTTTGGAAAAAACGAATTACGGATTCGACGAGTTTTATTATTTTTTGAAACTTTTACGGTCATTTGCGAAAAATTTATAGATTTTTAGAAATATCCAATCGCAAATAAACATTAAGAAACACTAAATATTTAAATATTTCATGAGTATTTATTTCAGAATGAGCAATATTCCTTGCGAATAAATCAATGAACATAATTTTTAATTAAAAATTAAATAATTAAATAATCAATGGAACATTAAATAAATAAGTCATAATTAATTAAAAATCATAAAATTGCCGATAAAATTTAAGAATATTCATATCTTATTTTAGCAAAGTCCACATGTTTGCGGGCAGGCATCACGTAAATATCCAGGAGGGTTACAGAAGGGTGCATATTTGCGCAGGCACTTCCTCTGTTCTGGCAGAGTACTCACTGTGAAGGTGCAGCAAGTGAAGCCATCGTCTTTGCAATCATTTCTTTATTCAAAAGCCAAGATAGATAAGTTAGTTCGATAAAAGTTTGGTTTGGTCAGTTAGATTGAAATCCGTAAAGAAAATCCTTCCATAAAACATAGTCGCTCACATTTCTTTCTTTTCTTCATTTCTTTCACCTTGGATTCTTTAAATAATTAACCTGGTAAACAAGTTTTTACATTGCAGTTTTTCGTAACATTTGAGCGATTCGGGTGTTTTTATGTGCTTCATGAAAAATAACTTGGAAAAAAAACATGGAAAATGAAAGATTTGGACGAAAATCGTTTTTGCAGAGATATATTCCAAGAACGCCTGAATGGTCGCATAGATCACATCTTTCGGGACATTTTACCAGGACTGTTGCATGGGTTTTTGCAGTCTATTGTAGATTTTTAACTTTTTGTATGTTTCATTAACACATGGATTTTTAAGATTATTTAAAGAGTCTAGTTATAGTGATTTTGATTTCCTGTTTTTTTGATTTCCTGTTTAGAAGCTTTTGGAAAGTTTTACGCACCTTTATCCTTAAATTAATGCGATCAATGTGTAAAATGCGATCAATTAGGAGTATCTTGGAATGTGTGCCGATACTAATGAGTATCTCAAAATTTTTGTCCTCCGGAATTTGATAAATGGTTAAGTTGTAACAGATGAAAATGATTCAATTCCATTGTTAACAAAAAGAAATAATCAATTAAAATTTACTTTTTAATTTTTCTATATAAAGAAATTTTCTAAAATAAAGTTATAAAGTAAACTCACAAAATTTACTTATTTATTATTTATTATTCAACTTGTGCAATAAAAATTATTTTCTATATTCTTTTAAATCTGTGGGGTTTCCATAATCCAGTCTGTTGGGTAGAATGGCTCAGTGGGTTGGGGGTTAATGCTTAAGTCCTATTCTCCACAGGAATAAATCTGTTCAAAAATTCGGATGATGGTATTGGTAACTCAGTTATCGTCAAGTGGTTCCCTGGCATATTCGCCTAATGTGATAAGCCAGTGGGAATCAGGATGATGAGCCATTCAAAAAAAATTGCATAAGACTGTATGACCGAACAGAATCTGTTGTATCTGTAATGTATAGAATTTGGCCAATGAGAGTTTTCGGAAATTATTTCTATTAATAATATTAATAATAATATATTAATAATAATATTATTATTTTTATTAATAATTTCTTGTAATATTCCGTCTTGGTTGAATTCATTCTATGATTTTTTCTAAAAATACTCACCAATTTTGATTAGGCTCGTTCCGCTGGCTTGTTTGGCTTGGTAAATTTCTACCAATGAGTCACTTGGTAATAGAAGTATATGGTGAACCGTCCGTTAGCTCATCCGAATTTTTAAAATATCGGCTTATTTCTACGGGAAATAGAAGTCAAGCCAAGCCAAGCCAAGTAAATATTTACGTTTATAAATTTTTTCGATACTTTTCGCTAAGAGATTTGTAAAATTTATGGCCATTTTCATTTCTTATTTTTCTTTTTATTGAAAATAATTTAGTGGAAATTTACAGGAATTCAAATTTTTGAGCAAAATTATTCACAGGAAATAGGGAAATGGAAATTGACAGTAAATAGATTTATGACAGTAAATTTATCAATCAATCCATCTATCAATAAAAAAAAGGGAAAATTAGAAAATTATCGCACTGACTGGGCTTAACGAACGATAATAGCCTGGCTGACTGGTACGCACAAACACGTGCGATATTTAACAAAACGTCTATTTTCATAGAAAAATGACCACATCGATTTAACAATTTGATTAATCGCTTAAGGACTTTTGTTCCTATGGTTAAATATAAGAATCTGAGGGGAAGCGTAACCCTCCCAGTCTCCTCTCCCTCTTCCCCCTTCCCTTCATCTCTACTTCATTTCCAAATCACCACTCTTCGTAATCATCGCATTATCAGAATTGTTAAATTAAGCTGATTTTTTTGAGAAGCCGAAGCTGCTTTTTATGGCAAAATTTTTTTTCTCCGAAAATTTTCAAAGAATTTTTCAGTCATTCACTTTTAGGTAGGGTGGTTTTTTATGGCGGAAAAGTTTTTTTTTAATTTAAAAGTTTTTAATCTAATTAATTGCGGAAATTGCGTTTTCTATTTTCGTTATTTTTTCGCTATTTTCGTTTTCGTTATTTTTAATTAGTTTTTCTAAAATATTTGTTATTTATTAAAATATTTATTTATTAAAATATTTTTTCATTATTTTAGTTCAAAAAATTTGTTTATTTTTGAAAAGTTTTTTGCGTGGAAAATTTTTCACTTTTTTCTTTAATTTTTTAAATAAATCTTACAAGATTTTTAATAATTTTTAATAAATCTTACATAATTTTTAATAATTTAAGATTTTTAATAATTTTAAAATTTTAAATTGTAACTTTGTAATTGCTAAAAAAATTTCTTAATGAATATTATTCAAAAAGTTTAGAAAGTTTTTTAGTAAATATTTAATATTAAAAAAGTGCAAAAAATTTTTTATTGAAGTGAGATTCAAATCAAAAAAATTTCTAACAAATTTAGAATAAAAAAGTTTATTAAAAATAAATTTTTTTATTTTTTTAGTAAATTATGATGTCTGATTTCATTTTTTTTTTGAATTTTTAATTCGAAAATTAGGTATTAAATATTATTAAATATTATATTATAATAAATAATGATATATTTTACCTTATATATTTTATTATCTTATTAATAAATATGTTTTAAGTATATTTATATATATTTATATTTATAAAATACATATATAAATATTAAATATATTTAAATATTAAATATATTTATATATATTTAATAAATATATTTATGTATATTTCATTAATAGATTTTAACGGTTATCTATTTTATATTTTTATAAAGACATTTCATCTCTTTTTTATTTCATTTTTGCTATTAAAGTATTCTGATCGAGTAAAGTTTATATTTTTATCGGAATGAATAGTTTTCTCATCGTTTCCATTTAATATTTATAATTTTTCTAAATCTTTTGAATTATATTTTTATGGAATTTGTGAATTCCATAATAATATTCATAATTCCATAATTTGTTATGGAATTTTAGAAAGCGCTATAGGACTCTATTTCAGCTATTCAGCTGTGCAAGATTTTTGTTATTTTAATTTTTATAAGATAAGCTTCGAAATTTTTTTATTGTTTTCAACTTGTCGAGGTTAAAAGATCCAAAATTGCCACTTTTGTTTGGTGCATTAGCTGGAAGGGCTGATAATCGTCGTGAAGGAATTTCATGAAATTTTGTCTGGAAATTTCATTAATATTTCTTTGAAACATTTAAATTCGGAAATTTTTATTTATCAAAAAAAGCGAAATTTTTGCAAATTTTTCATAATTCTTCTGTTATTTTCGAAAAAATGATTGCTTTCTATTTCATTTTATTTTATTAACTACCGTTCTATCAATTATTATTTTATTATTTTAATTTCCAAGTGAATGGAAGAATTCGATAATGAATACGAAATTATATTATTGAGATCACAGAACGAAAAACTTCGAAAATTGTTGATCGATGAACGCTTTAAAGTTTATCAAGAAAGAAAAAGAAGAATTTTGCTTGAGGCTCGTCTTCTTTTAATTTTTAAAACGCTTAAAGATGTCTACAATGTTGATGTTAGGTAAGTGAATTTTCTTGGTTTTTTTTATCATATTAAAAGATTCAATCATGAGAATAATAATTTAAGTATTTCAATTCTTCAGAGATTTAATAACTTCTGAAGGCAGCGTTTCAACGAATGGGAATTCTCCATCGGATTTCTCACAAACGATAAATCGGTTTTCTAATGCTTTTCAGGTTATAGAATCAATTTTTTTAATGATTTTTTCTAAAAACTTTATATTTGATTCAGAATGAAACCTATGACAATATATTACGTAATTTTAACTGAATCTCATAATCTATTTTAAGGTAGGATTTATCCTGAAATTTCCTGGCTTTCCTTGACTGTAGAAAGTTCGTGTTTAATCTATAAGGAACGGTTTGTTGGGAGTGTTCATTTAACTAAGAAAAAAAAATTCATTGCCGCCAGAGTCTTTTTTTTTGTTTTCTTTATTTGTAAAATTTTTTACACTTTCAGACGGAAAACTCATATGGCTCTAAATCAGCTTCTGCGATGACAGTTGACCTTTCTTACAGCAGTCAGCTGTTACCTCCTGATAATGATAAAAGAATATTAAATACTACTCAATCCTTGCAAGTGGATAATGAAGTAAATCAGTCGAAGAGTAGTAATACTCCTTGGCTTTGGTTTGTTGATGAGAACGGCATTTCAACGGCGCAAATGCCATTATCGCTTTCAGTAAGTTGCGGAATTTTTATTTCGTTTTAATTAAGGTAATTCGCAATGTGATACAATTTTTCCATTTCTGCATCGTAAAAATTCTAAAAATTTTTGAATTTTGAATCTGAACTTTGTGATTCTCAAATTTAACAATTTAGAATGCTTTAAAGATGCGTAAAGCTGCATTTATTGCTAGAAGTGCTGCGCGACAAAAACGTATTAATGCAGCTCGCGCTTTTCGCAAACATTTGGCTCATGAAAAACATAAAATTGCTCTAGAAGTTCTTGCGGGTCGTACGGATGTTAGGAATGTCGCAGATATTCTTGGCCACTCATGCTGTTTCCTTCCTCGATCTTCTTTTTATCAGAGTGCTCTCGAAACAAAGCAGTGAGTCTTTAGTCTTTTTATTCTAAGTATTTACGTTTTAATTAATAACCGGAGAATAATAATAATGGATATATTTTAATAATGGATATTTTTTTATTGTCATAGATTGAGTGGAGAGCAAGATGAAGTAAGTTTTTTTCGACTTCGGCTAGGTACCATGGATCTTATTCCTGTTTGCTGACGCAAACACGTCAGCTGTGATCCACCTTTATTTTTGCTCCAGAAATGGTGAGCTATAAAGTGGAAAAGTCTCACTCTAATAGGGCCACTCAAGCTAAAATGGTGATGAAGCAGAAAAAAATGAAGATGAGAAATTAAATTACAACAATTGTAAATTTGTTGAGATATCAAGTAAATTTTTTCGTAAAGTTTAAAATCTGGAATATTTATATAATTATGTAAATTCTCGTAAATATAGAATTGCCATCCTTTTCCATCCTTTTTTTGCGTCATATATTAGAAATAACCAGAAGGATATTTAAATTGTAATATTGTAATATTGTAATTGAGCTAATGTCTTAAATAATAAATTTTTTCTTAATCAAAAAAAATCTGGTAAAATAACTAATATACTAATTTAATTTTTTTGCAGACGTATACAAGGAACTAAAGAATCTGAGGATCAAAGGCGTGCTGCCGTAAAAGAAAAAGATTTTCACGTCAATAGACTCTTAGCATATTGTTATAGTCAGGTTTGATTTGATTCGTGTCAATTGATAATATTTTGGCACTGATAAGGGAGTTTTGCCTTAATCTAAACTATCACTCATTATCTATCATTGTTGCATTGTTGCAAATTTAAATATAACATAAAGTGTTTCATAAAATCAAGGAAAATAATGTATCTGTTTATTTCAGACTGTTCGAAATGTTCAATAAATACAAAAAGAATTATTCATCATATCATTAATATCTTTCATAAAATTCTCTTAAATTTTAGAAATCTTCTTTGATTTCTTATTTTATTATATCCTAAATTTCAATTGGATCTGGAAAAATGTAATGTATATAATTTTTTGATATCAGATTTTTAATATTTTAATTACAATTTATCTTTTTTGTGAATTGTGTGATCTCAGCATAGTTTATTTCCAGATGAGTTATTGATTATACTTCATTTACTTTAAATTCCTTCATTTTCATTTGATATATCCTGCCAGGTTTGATTTTGCTTATCTTTTTTTCTGTATAAATCCTTTACATAATAAAACAACACTTCTTTAAGAATCAATGCTCAAAAAATAATTGCCGAATGGTCAAAATAGTTCAGTAATTGCCGAAAATTGAGGGTACATAAAAGATAATGATTCAGAAAATAAAAAAATATGGACATAATAGCATTTTTCGAATAAACGTATTTTTAATGGAAGCTGTTTCAGTTGTAAAGAAAAATAATAAGCAAAAGGGATTTATAAAGGGATTTGTTCTTTATGAAACCAAGTTATATTTGCTATGTATTTTTCCGGTTGATGAAACCTCTATGGAGCAGTCCGAAATCACCATGAAAAGGAAAATCTTTTAATTAGCTGCAATTCATTCGATCTTGCTATATGGCTGCGAGACATGGCCAATGAGGGTGGAAGATATTGAGAAGCTGCCAACCTTTGACCACTCATGTCTAAGACACATTTTATGGATCCGTCGAAATGGATAAAATCGCATATTCTTGTATCCGTCTTCGCTCAAATACCACCTGCATTAATAATGTTATCACAGAGCGTCGCCATCATCGCTAATCGGGGCACGTTTCTCCGTTCACCACAGCAATTGATGCATATTTTACTACTTGCCGAATCCATGGTGGTTGACACCAAAAGCGAAGAAAGTCAGTCAAGTTCTGGACTGAGTTGGGAAAGATTTTGAACGTATAGGGGAACCAGCGACATATGGATTTAGACAATGCAAAAAGGAATCGCTTCTATTACTATCGACGATGGCATCAGATCGTGCCGCTTGGAAGCGTTTTACCCTTGTAGCAAGCTTAACCAATAATGGTGAAAGCTGTTGGAAGAAGGTATATTTGCTAAACGAGCGTAATTTGTAACGACTTGTGAGAACACAGCGAACAAGCAGTTTCGAATTAGCAACATCTTGATCTGCGCTGACAAAGACTGTCTAATCTATCTATTATTGGCGACAACTGGTTCAGGAATGTGAAAAATATGAAATCTCGAGCATCTAAGACTTTAGGCTTAATTCTTTATGACATTCTTTGCCAGAACTTATACGTAACATATAATAATCAGTTGAGAATTAAGCCCTAAAGTCCTAATAGCTTAGATTTGATAAAGAAAAATGATAAATGTTACTTCATATTTTAGTTTGTGATAACGAAAATTTTATAACTATAGACAAACCTTCATTCTAGTTTCATTATCTTATAAATGAAGATTAAATTTTCAAAAATAAGCAAGAGAATTTAAACCACGTAGAATAAAATATCCTGCATAACCTTTAGGACAAATCACCTATTGGTGCCTGGTACCATCCAGTTTTAAAATGAAAAAGATTATCGATGGCCTTATTTCGGCTAAACATTTCCATCTCGATGAACGAGACGTTTTCACCACAGAGTAACTTGGATTTTATCCATAAAAATACGTGCTTTGCCAACATTTCTTCATTTAGTCTTAACAAATAAATTAAATAAATAAGCAAAAACCAAAGAAAATGAAAAATAGAAAAATAAAACTGGAATATATCAATCAAAAGAAAAAAGAAAAAGAAAAATAAAGTGATTCACTGATAAAAATTTGTCTGGCCAAGCAAATCAGCGAAGGAAGCCTAATTAAAAACGTGATGAACATTCTTAAAAATAAAGAAAATTTTTGCAAAAAATTATTAATAAAAAACATAATTCAGTTGAAATCAATCGTAATTTTTATTAATTTTACTCTAATTATAATAATAGTATTAATAATTGTATTATAACTTTATTATTTTTATTGATATTTTTGTATTAATGTTTACATTTTTATATGTTTATATTTTTATTTTTATGTTTATATTTATTTGTATGAATAGTTTATGTTAAAAATAGAAAAATTAAAAAAATTTTTTTCTTTATTTTTGAATTAAATAAAGTTGGATTATTTTTATTTCCTTATTTATAATTACTAATTACTAAATTAATTTTAATTACTAAAAAAGTTTTACTGTATTTTAAGTTCCAGTCCTATATAAAGAATAAAAATCATTATAATTATTTTGTAATAATATTTATTATAATTATTATTACAAATGATTATTAATTACAATATAGTGGTTCTTTCTATAATTTTAAGAAAAAGATTTATCAGATAATTAAGATATCAGATAAAATCACATCATTTCACATTATTGACTGACTTAGCTGATATTTTAGTACTGAAATACAATTGAAATTAAATAATGATAATAATTATGGCCATCAAAAGAAATATAATAACTTTATGAAAAGAGAACCTCCTTTGAGGTGAATATGGGAATCTACGGATCTTCTTATGTGACCCACAGGACAAGGCAGTTCGCAATTGACGAAGTTTATAAAATGTCCGAATGTGGCCGATTTATGCAAAAGGTTTGTTTTCGTATTATTGATATTCTTGCATATTATAATTCGATAATTAAGGAATAGGAAGTGGAGTGGGGTGGGGGAGAGGTTTGGTTTTCTCCATTTTTCCATTTTTAGATGGCAGGGTTTGCTTCAAATCCTGAAAGAGCCCTTTAGGCTGATCCAAGCAACAACGGGGGTGAATGCCACTGAAACTGAAATCTAGGTGAAGTGTGGAGGTCAACCTCAATTTCCCAGGTGATTTCACTCCTTTCTTTGATTTTCTGACTTTTATTTCTTTTTTTTTTTACGCTTTCTCATTATAGGAGTGATTTTCCTAATTTTATCTCTGAATCATTTTCGTATTATTTCAACTATATATATATATTTTTTTAAATTTTCTAATTTTATTTTTGAGAATATTTTTGAATTGTCGAAATTTCGTGTTTATTTATAGGTTTGCTTTTGTCGAAAGAGATCAAGCGAATCAGAATCGTCTTTTTTCACCTAAACTAACGCTATTTATTAAGAATTAGTTGGAGGAGAAAATTTATTAAAAGAATCGTTGAAAGAAGTTTTGATAAGTTATAGCAAATTTGTGATGCCGAATGAGAGAAGATTGATGAAATATGCAGTTTATATGAGCAAATGTACTAAAGAGGTTATTTGCCCATTTTTCTTTTATATTATTTATATTTATTTATATTAAATGTGGAATAGAGGTAAATCATCCGTAAGCTTAAGGGTAATATTCCCGGGGATAGTCTTCGGGCCTAACTTTTCAAATATTGTCCATCGAATTGCAACTTATATTCTTATGTAAGTCCTTTTTATTGCAACTTCAATAAATGTACTCTTTGGAATGAAAGAATGAAATAATACGAGATAACTGGAGCAAAGCAATTCTACTCCCAATTGCTAAGAAAGTGACAGGACATATTGCAACAATTATCGAAGAATAACCTACTAGATATCTTAAAGAAAATTTTTGCTTCCTTCCTGCTGAATAGACTTATGGCAATATGAGACAGCAGAATACCCTAAGCTGGATTCAGATCGGCATACCTGGATTATATTAGAAGATGAAAAGGTAAATTGGCCAAGTGGATTGTTCCTATTGTTCTTCCGCAGAAATAAACATATAAATCTTTCTAAGTTCTCAAAATTAATGACGATTCATGTATATTTCTATCGGCAAGTAACCACTTGGCAAAAATTTGATTCGACTAGTCGGCAAAGTGAGTCTAAGCAGAAAGGGCTATTATAAAAAAAAATAAATGAATAATTGTCTTTCTTTTGGTTACTGTTGCTTAGCTCGAATGAAATTAATGACCTGAAATATTCTATATCGCAAAACTTAGTTGATAATGGTTCGTAAGATAAAGAATTCATGTTGAGAAAAGACAGATTAAACTCACCAAGAAAATGAATGTTTTCTTATTGTTTAAATTTAACTATGTTCGCATATTTTTCCATATCTCATTGATCAAGAATCAGAATTAAAAATAAATAAATAAGCCTGAGAAATCTAAAAATTTAAGAAAGGATTGAAAAACTTTTTTTCAAAATTAATTATTGGTAATTAATTGTAGGCAATAGATTACGGATCATGTATTGCAGAAAAGCCTGAAAGAATAACGAAATCAGCTTGCGATAAGGAATTTAATCTTCTTTACAATTGTATTCGAATACAAGTAAGAATAATATGTTAAAATGTTGAAAAATTGTCCTGTTTTTATTTTTTTTTCCTTTTCGATAATTTTTTTATTCACTGTTCACCAAAGATGATCGCTCGGGGATAGGGTGGCTCAGTGGTTTATTCCGTTCGGAGCGTCGATGCTGAGGTTCTGTTCCTTCCAGGAGTAAACCTCTCCAAAAATCCGGGTGATATTGGCAATTCACCTGTACTTCTATCGTCAAGGGACTCCTTGGCATATTTGTCCAGTGCAACTAGCCAGCTGAGTGAATTTAGTCAGTAATGGTGAGAACTGGTGATAAATTTATATAATATATATATTTAAGTAAATATTTATATTTAAGTTAAAGCGCCAGGTTTTTGTCTGGGAACTGAATCGAATTTAAATCCCTAACCTATTACTTTTAATTTATGCATTATAACCGACATGTTTCGCTATTCATTAAAAAATTCGTAATTTTTAAGAAAAATTATTAAGAATAATAAATTTGTGTTTCTTTAATAATGATTAATTTTTAAAGGTAAAAGCTGCAAAAAAATGAAGGTAAAAAGGTACAAACGAATGAAACGTATTATTTCCATTTATCGCAATAATTTTAATTTTCATCCACCATTTCGAGTCTTAGTTGATGGGACCTTTGCATTAGCTGCTTTAAAAAATCAGATCAATTTGCGCGAACAAATGCCAAAATATTTAAATGAGGTAAGGTAATTTTTTATAAAATTGTAATTTTTTGTTTAATAACAATATAAAATTTAGTTCATAACAAAGACAAATAATAATGGATGGACTTTTGATTTTGATTTTCAGAATTTATTTATTGCAAAATACTCGACTCTTTTTTTTCGATTTAATTTCAAGAAATAATTTCAATAATTTCAATAAATAATTTCAATAATTTCAATAAATAACATCCGAAATTGAACATTGCAAAAAGATTTTGGCTGAATTTGCTAAAATATTTTTAACAAAAGTAATGAACCCATTATTTATAATGAGTAATTAGATTTTACCAATTCCTTCAAAATTTGATTTCTCGACTTCATGGCACGAATAATTCCGAATAAATCAAAATCTGTGTTTAAAATGTTATTTAATTGGAAATAATAAGTCGCCAATACCAAACGGGATTTTTTTCGCCTCTATCAAGAGGCATTTTTTATTTTTCAGGGATTTTTAAAATAAAATAATTTTTTATTTTGCTATGAATAAACAATTCCAAAATAAAATGGTTTGCAGGATATTGAAATGTGTGTAACTCGTTGCGTAATGGAAGAGTTATTTAGATTAGGCTCAGCAACATATGGTGCGGTACCTATTTGTAAGCAGTTCGAGGTTAAAATTTTTGATATAATTAATAAAGATTTATAGATAATAGCAAAATAATGACGATCATAGTTAAAAAGAAAAATTGGAAGAATGAAAATTTAAGTGACTTTTTTCGCAAAAAAACTTGAAAATAGGCCCTAAGTATTAATTTCAAACAATTATTTTCCAATTATAATATTTTTGCTCCAAAAAAAGTAATTTCATAATCTTTAATGGAGGAAGGAGAGAGAAACAATCACAATAAAAGGTCGTACCAATTTTTAATTTATTAGAGAAAAATAATTATGGTCGTTTTTAAAATTTTTAGGTTGATGATTGTCATCATCATCCAGCAAAACCTGCATCTGTCTGTCTATATGATATGGCTAGAAAAATGAGGAAGAATGAAACAAAATATTTTATTGCAACCCAGGTTGGATTTTGAATAATGATCTATTTAACAATCCAATATGCTTATTATTGTCGCATATTTTATGTTTATTGATATCATAAATTTTAAAAATTAATTCACGTCGTTCAATCGAAAAGTGGGTCAAAATTTGCCGCATCCTTTTTTTTAAATTTTTATATTTATTATTTTTTAAAATTTTTAATGTTCCATTTATAACGATTATGGTTCCAATAACTAACGAAAAAAATTTTTTTTAAGGATCACGAATTAACTGATTCATTACGAGAACTTATCGGTGTGCCTATCCTCTTCATAAAGTTTAAAAGCATTTTAATTGATAAAATATCAGTTTCTACTCTACAGGTTGGTAAATCTTTTTTATTTTGTAATAATTTTCGTAAATTTATTTTGCTCGTCACATAGTTTTAAAGGCTGATTCGCCTGAAGTTCATTAGTAGTGCTTATCCTTTGCGACCTTGCGTATCACAATGAGTAAAGGACGTTTAAAGAGCGCAACATATCAGAATCAAGTAAGAAAACGCGAGATAAACCATAAAATATTCAGGAAAAAGTTTATTATGAACTTTTTGAATGAAAATCTTTGCCACTGCTTTTTTGAGAAAAAGATAATATTTATTCTGTATTATTATATTATTATTCTGTATTATAGATATTTATTTTGTATTATATTCTTTCAAGTTTTAAAAAATTTTATTCACAAAAATATTTTTAGCATGCGCAGCAGTGCAAAGAAACTTTGGATGATATAAAAACACTGAAGTCGCAGATTTTGGGTCCAGAAAATTGCTTGAAGAAAAAGAAGAAACGTGTACATGGTCCAAACCCACTTTCAGTAAAGAAAAAGAAAAAGAAAGCAATTAACAACGAAATGAAGATTCGCGATAGTGAAACGAGGACTGCTGCTGGAAAACGACGTCGTAGGAAACGGAGAATCGGCGAATCACGAAATTCGAGCGTTATAACTAATAATGATTGAACTGATTCGATCTTATATTTATTTATTTTATGTTATTTTGTAAAATATGAAAAAAAATATAAAAATGAAATGGAATGATGGAATTGAATAGAATTATTTTTTAAATATTTTTGTCCATATCTCAATTTATTTTTTCTTTATTTCAAAATTTTCCACTTAACCATTTTTTTTTCTTTTCCATTAAGATAAACGTGCTTTTAAGCCGAAAATTCGGTGAATATTTGTGCAGATGTTTTTTTGAATGTTTAGATTTAAAGTATTTAGGAATTTCGTTAGGAATATTTAGGAATTATTTTTTCTTATATTTTTTAGCCTCTAAACTCTTAGTTCGGTAAGAAAGAAAACAAAAATCGAATTATTTGCTTATCCCTGTTGTTGTTTTTTATTGTATGAGATATTTATTGTTGAGATATTAATGCTATATTCTTGTATGTATCAATAAATTTTGCTAAAATTAACAATTAGCGAAATATTTGCTATTATTTTTAGCTGTTTCGCCATAAGAAGGTTGCAATATGCATCATTAATTCTTACCATAAGAAGGTTGCAATATGCATCATTAATAATCTGATAAAGTGATAAAGTGATAATTTAAATTTTCTTAATGTTATGGGTCGAGCTTCAATGAATTTTTTTTGTTCAGATTCACTGGAGCGAATGGTTAGCGTAATGCAAACGATGTAGACTCTATAAATTATTCCATACCGATGATATCAGTTATCAGTTTAGATTTCAGGTTATTTTCAGATTCGAATTTGAATGGGCAATTATTTTCTAAAATTCTTTTCTTTTTCTGGGATTTAGTTTAATCGAAATTTTTGTATTATTATTGATGGTTTCCTTTAGAAAGTATCTTTATATTGCTCTATGTGCAGTAAATGGATTTGAAATTACGCAAAGATGCATATATTTGCCCGCAAATACCAGTTGCGACACATCTAACATGTCCCGCATCAGCGGTAATAATGGGAACATCGCAATGTAACGAAAATTATTTTATTGTTGGCAAAGTAAATGGCGATGTAAGTTTTTAATGTAATGGCGATGTAACTATAATATGGGTTATAATTAGCGTATTTATTTCGAATAAAAGAGCTAACTAGGCCAACTAAAAATACAATTTTAATAATGGAAACTTCTTGAATTTAAGGAGAACTTATTTATATTGAATAGTTAATAATATTAATGATTTATTGAAGTGGGATATTGTATAGTATCGGTTGACTGCCAAATTACTTCGATATTAGATTATTTTGAGTCATTTTCTCTTCTAAGAAAAGGAAAGTCAAATTTTTCTCTCTCTCGAAACCGCTCAATGTTATTATATATGTAAGCTTTCGGGGATCCCATTTGTACTCATAGCTTTAAACGATTTTTATGGCACCATCTAAGGCATCATCCTGATTACTTTGGCCAGATTGAGTCATTACAAAGGATATTTTGCTTTTCCTATTTTTTTGTAAATATCAATTTTTTTTTAAATTACTATGAAAATAATGAAAATAAACTAGAGAAATATTTTTTAATAGATTTAAGGTTATTTTTTTCGGCGAATTCAGGCAACTTGCTTATTATTACAGTCCAGTTGAAAGTCCAATAACTGCAATTGCCTGCGGTAAATTAACACAATCCTTGTTAGTTTTGCATAATTTTGAGATTTTTTTGCATTGCTTTTAAGCTTTTTTTTTCTATACTTTATGTTTTCTTTATCATTTCTCTTTTCGGTGCTAAAAACAGAAATCTAAGAAATTCAAGGATTTACTGAAGTCGCTAATTAATTATTATGATTGGAAATTCGCAAGAGAAATGATTCCTAAATTCCTTTATTGAATCATTCTGAAAATGTAATTTGAAATTAGTTTAGTTTTATTTTTTAATAACGCTTGTACTTAAGAGTAAGATTGGGATTTTTTCCTACTGATAGTAAATTTTTTGTAAAAATAACAAATGGTTACAGGAAGCATACAGGGAACTTACTTGAATTTTTATTTTCAAATAACTTTCTGGCATCATTTTAGCTCTTAGCTTAGTAAAGTCAAATTAAAAATTAAATACAATGTTAAAAAAAGATTGATTGATCTTTCTATGATTGATTTAGATAATATTGTAGTATAATATAATATTATAATTTTTTGTGTTGCATTATTTTTTGTGAAATTTAGAAAATCTTTTGAGGAAATTTACAATCCAGTGGTACTGGGTAACGGTGCCATTTTTTAAACTATTCTTTCAGGAATAATATAATAAATTTATTTTAGTGATGAAGTTATATCGATATCAGCGGATGGCCTTTTACAGTCGATTCATTTTCCTTTTCCCAATGGTCCTCCAAGTTCTCCATATTTGCTATTCGATCAACTGTTAAATGCAAACATTTGTGCAGCTAGGATTGATGACATTGATGGCGATGGAATCAATGAATTGCTTGTTGTTATGACGGATCGTGTCGGTTAGCTTAGATTTTATTTATAAATTTTGAAGCTTTAACGATTGCTGTGGTGGGCATATTCTTCTCTCGAATTTTGCGAACAAGATTGTCGAGTTATAATTTAATTAGCCTTACGCAACTGAAGTGAGCACTGAAGCTAGCCAAACCATAAATGATAGAAGAATGAAAAAGTGTTTTTCTGTACTTTATTTTTTCCATATGAGTTGCTTGGCCTGAAACTAAGCAAACTGGAACCTAAAATTACACTTTTATTTTTTCTATTTTTTACAAATATCATTTTATTTTCTTTAATGTACTGCTTTACAGTTCGAAGCTACAGATATGTTGATACTCGTCTACAGTCTCTTAACAAATGGGAACTTCCGGCACAAATACGAGGTTTATCACTTGGACGAACATCAAATGGACGATTTTATGCTTTATTAGCACAAGCAATGCAAAATTATGCTGTACGTATCGATTTTGTGGAAAATAATTGCATAACAATACCGCAGATAGTTGCTGATGAACGCAATTGTTCGATTGACGTGCCTTTCAATCCAGTTTGTGTGAATTTAATTAATTCGTTGTGCAGGAAACTTCTCGTTGTTGATGAAGGTATGGTTAAATTTATGTATTAATTTAAATTTAATTAATTTGTAGAAAATGTTATTTTGGTTATTTGTTTCTCATATATATGGTGAAGTTGTTGTTTTCTTTCAATTTTATGTGCCTAATTGGTGTTACCGTTCTTTAGGGCCTTAGCATGTGCTTGGGTCTTTTTCAATATTGGAAGGAAGTGAAATCTAAAAAGCTAGTGGAGTACTCCTCCTATATACTTCTCTTCCCAAGCGATTTCGACAGGAAAGTTTCTTCCTTTTAGAATCAGTGAAGCGAGGCAAAAATAATCAGAAATGATACCTCTTACTATTGAAAGAAAAAAATCTAAATGATTTGTAAAATAAATCTGTTAGAATGGAGTATTAAACAAGAATTGAAATTTTCTCTAAAAATTCTGCAGATTGCAAAAACGATTATGAACTCAAAAATATTGGTGGTCTTATTGTTGCCACATCAGTTGTTATATTAAAAAGTGGTATTCGATTAATTGTAACTTCTGATACTCGTGGGAATCTTTTAATTTATGGTTGGACCGATGATAAGGTAAAGGGTTTATTCTGTTTAATTTAAGTGCTTTTTTCTGTTTCAAGATATTGAAGAAAGTGAATTCCCATTTCATGATTGTTATCAAATCTTCATTGAAAAAGGATTCAATAAATTAAGCAAGGAGGGATTATTTGTTGTTGCCCTGTAAATTGGATAATTTTATTTTTATCAACTTTTTTAACAAATTTTTCACTAATTCAGATGTCAAATAAACCTGTTGGTCATTGTCGTATATTGTTTGAAGTGGATCACATGGCTGCAATAGAAAGTGTCGAGCAAAACGCATTTTTAGTGGGAGTATCAACACTTCATTCAACTGTGGCAATATATCGCATAACCCTTACTTCTTTGTTTCAGACAAATCTCGATATACCTCGTCCTTAAGCATAATGAATAAAAAATATAAGTCCAAGGTTATAACTTTGTTTTTTTCTGTTTGTTTAATTTTAATGAAGAGGATTCATAAATATTTTACTGAGAAAATTGTGCAGAATTCTTCCAGTAAATGATTAAATGGAATAATGATAATAAAAATAATATAGCTTCTAGCTTCAGAAATTTAATTGGCGCATTTGGAAAGGTCAGCTATGATAGGGTTTTTTGTTTTCGTATTAGCGCAATAAAAATAGCGCAAATATATGACAATACAATTTTTCCATTAATTTTAGTTCTTTAACAATATTCATATTCATAACTCTTTTTTGATTAGCTTCACTAGATTCACAAATGTACGATTCCAAAGCTATCCCTAAAACAATTGGAGCGAGTATATCTAAACGTTTAAAGCTTTGTCTGAAATGACAATTGAAGGCATTTATATTTATATTTCGGAATCATACAGTGTATTTTGATATAAATATTTGATCAAATTTAAAGAAAGTTATAAAAAAATATAAAATATAACTCAATGTTCTAACACCGATTATAAAAAAGATGTAGAATAACCGTTTACTATGCATGAAATGGCTCAGTTGGTTGTTGCTGTCATTTGAAAGTGGTGCTGCGATTTTATTCGTGGTACTAGTAAGTTTTTCCTTCAAAAACTCTCTTAGTGCTTCATCTGTATTTCTACGTGTATTTCTACCGAGAAGTGAATCTATCCCTAGTTGAATTATCTAGCCCGGCAAGCAGCGAAATAAACCTGAATGCTTTAGAAAAAAAAAAGGAATAAATATCTCCTTTTTATTCTTCTGGTTTAAATATATTTTAAAAAAAAATGAAGTAACACGGATTAAAAAATTATGAAAAATTTAAATTTTTATGAATACTAAAAATATATTTTGAACTCAGATACACCAAACGTTTTTTTATTGCATCAATTTTCTTTGGAAAAAAAAATGAACCTTTGATCAAAGCTGATCAATTTACCAAATATCACGCGTAGGCTTTTTTTCTACACTTCCCATGAAAATAATTTTTTCTCTTTAGGAGGAATAGTAATTTTATTCACGCATCAAAAAGTAATCTGCTTACTGTTCAGCCATACAAGATTTATATTGTCATTTCGAAAAATAAAGCCAAAGAAATGAGAATTGTATATAATCCAAAAACATAGTAATACAATACAACTTATACAATACAACTTTATTTACAAATCACAATACTGACTTTTCTTGAAGAGATGTAGGAAGCCCAGAGCCATTGAGACATCGCTTTTCCCAGTATATTTATATAATAGACAAGGAAGAAAAAGACAATGTATGAGTATTTAAATAAATGCATACTAGTTTAATGTACTTCTGTAGGCCCATAAGCCCATAAGCAAAGATGATTTTCATATTTTTCGGGATCGTAAAATTCGACATATAAATTTTCGTCGTCCTCATTTATAATTTTACTAACTTGTATAGGTTGCCGAGCCTCATTTGTTATTAATCTCTTCATTATTCTTTGTCCACTGCAGGTTGCGATTATTCCTTCTTCTTCAGGATGAAGGCTTAAAGGCTTGCGATTTAATCAAAGTATTATTATAAAGCATAATCAAAATATAAGTATTGAAAATATAAGTAAATATATTGCTAGTCAGATAAAAATATATAATCAATTTTTGTTACAAAAAAAAATTCCTGAATTAACTTTTTGAAATTTTTGTAATAATTACCAAATATTCTAATTTTATAATAAGGTGATTTATATTAGCCATCAAAGAAAATTTTTTTTTCCTTCAATATTGTCGTACTAAATTGAGCAATCGAAATCGACGTTACCTAACTCCTGTAATGGAACAATTACATGCTTGTAATTTTTTGATAGGTTCGACATTCTCCACTGCTCTTGATAAATCGAAAATATAAAGGTTACCAGAAGAACTGCCGCTAAAAAGAAGTTGTTCTTTCCTGCAAATCAAAACAAATGAATAGGAAATGAGGTTGTCGTTTAAGTCAAATAAGGAATGAAACTGTTGGAAAAAGAAAGATATAAGTGCATTCGAAAAATATCCCTAATAAACAAATAGTAACTTCAGGCTAATGGAAAAAGGCGAGAATAAATTTTAATAGACAGATTGGACGAAATGACAACTGCACACTCCTAGAAAATAATAAGCAAAATTATCTATAAGCAAAATTGATTCAAAATCCACTCACCAAATCTAACCCACCTCTTATGAAAAAGAACCATATCTAGTTGGCATAAACGTTCCGGAGAAACCTACTGATGAAGAGACTGCTACTGCCGATAGGCTTTTAATAATATTGATGATACTAATATTGTAGCAGCCGCTGGAATCCAGACTGGATGCATTAAGGAAGTCCGACGACATGGAAGAAAGGGGTCAGGCGGGCCATGAGTACTTAAGATTTGACTTGAAGATAAGTACATGGCTATGTCTATATTGCATAATAAGAACGTGCGCTCGATTGTTCTCTTCCTATCAATCTACTATAGCTTAGGACAACTTGCCAAGTAAGGTAAATAAAATAGGAAGTAATTTATCTTTATATATATATTTAATGCAAGAAATTTAATTTATAAACTTTATGACTTAAAACTCCTATTAATTGATAACCCAACAGTATTTTTTGTATTAATGAAACGTGGTTGGATGACTCTATTGATATCGGGAATTAAACTTCGATGGCTTCCTACTGTCATGCAAGGATAGAACAATAAATAGTTTAAATACTCGTGGAGGTGGGCTTATCACGCTTATTCCTGATTATTATAAATTTATAACTTTTGATGATTTTGTCTATTCCTCTTTCGAATCTCTAATAACCAAAATTTATCTCAATAATAGAAACACATTTTCCTTTTAAATATACATCGCCCAGCTGGCTATTGTAGTATATTCACTAGGGACAATCTGTTATATAAATTAAAAATATTTGGTGCCGATTATGTAACTGTCGGTGATCTTAATATGCCAAATATAGATTTGGAAAATAGTTGCTTGAAAAATAGCAGGAAATTTGAAGAGGACTTTCTAAACCTTTGTATCTATACAGGTCAAGAGCAACATGTTAAGATTGCCACTAGGCATAACACTATTTTAAATGTTGTGTTAGCTGCTTCTACTTCTTTTTTGATAGCATTAAAGTCTTGGAGCCTTTTTGTAATAGTGATCACAACATCATTCATGCTTCTTTAAAGTTAGACCGTTATATACTTCCCTCGAGATATTATAGAAATTATCGTCACTGTGATTATGAAATTTTTAATTCTATTTTCGCAGAAATAAACTGAGATTTCTTATTCTATTTAACTCTCTCTATCGATGAAAAAGTTAATTTTCTTATTAGCATCATTTTATATCATTTCATCATTTTATATCTTCTAGAGCAATATATCCCTTCGAGGAAAAAAAGCGTTAAGTCGATTCCCACTTTTTAAAAATCTCTTTAAAAAAATGTCAAGAAGCTTTATAAGAAATACAAATTAACCAAATTACCAAGTGACCTTTCTGCATATAAAGAATGTTTAAGAAGTTTCCGTGGTGCCGTTCATAATTACTTTTCAAATAAAGAGGAGCAAATTTTAAATATTAATAGAAATTTTTTCTGGGCCTATATCAAAAGAAAATTTTCAAATCCACGTAAGCAATTAATTTTGCAACATAATGATAATGTTGATGATAATGATAATGCTAGTGATCACATATTGATATTGCAAGTGTATTTAATCAATATTTTTCCGGTGTATTTGTTGATGAGGATAATATTCTACGTTTTAACAAATTTGTTGCACTTGTCTCGGTGAAGTTAAAATAACACTACTGGATGTTTATGATGCCTTAAGCCGTCCATTTCAGCTGGTCCCGATAATATTCCACAAATAATTTATAAAAATTTGCAGCTTCAATGTGCAATTCTGAGTCTTCCACTATTTTTAATTTATGAAGATGCGTTATGGTACCTTAAGTCGTCGTTCGGTCAATTCTTGACTACAATACTACATGTTACTCCCCGAGATACTATAAATCAAGTAAAATAATTGAAGGATTCCAAAAATATTTTATACGGCACCTCTCTCCTAATTGCAATTTTAATTGTAAAAGAAAACTTCTACAATATAACCTGGATTCTCTGTCAGTTCGTCGTATTAAATAAGATTTAATTTATACTTACGAGATTTTGCATGGTTATGTTAAATTAGATTGTTCAAAATATTATAATTTTAGGTTAAATTTAAATTCAACAAGAACTAATGGGCTAAAATTACTAAAACCTATGTGTAAAAACAAACTAAGGACTCATGATTTCTCTATTCGTAATATTAATTTGAATAAATTACCGAACGATATAGCTTGTGCCATCCCTAGTTATCTTTAAAAAAAGAATATATAATATCATTTATGATTATTTAAAAAATTCAGATCATGCAGGAAGTGTGAAATCGCGATTTTTACCATCCGACTATAGTTATTTCGATTTGTACTATATTTTATTATTTTGCAATATCCTCTTTATTTCATCTTTAAATTGTTTATTCTATTTTAATATTATTATTTTGTTATTTGTCATTAATTCTTAATATTTGTTATTTTATTTTAACTGATGTTATTAATACAAGCACATGGCGTTTGCGCCCTGCTTGGCTGGTTTTCAACAAATAAATAAATGTCGATTGATAATAAATTAATAAATAAATGCCAATCTAACTTGTGATATTTTGATATTGTTGATCTCGGCTTAATGATAAACTAGCTGAATGATAAAAATATACATAGATTACAACTTATTAGAACTTTTATTATGACTTACGCAATGGAACTTTATTTTTTTATTTATTATTTTTACTTAAGATTCTTTAAAAATTAGAAGAATTAAGCAGACTTTTACATATTCTATTTGGCTTTGTTGATTAAGATTATAATAATAAGCATTAATAGTTATGGTTTAAATCGCAACACCACTTGAGATAAGAGGTTGGAGCTTTACAGGTCCGATTGCAAAACTGGTACAACTTATTTAGTAATAACTATTTGAAATAAGTTTCTATTTGAAATAATTTTCATCCCCACAATTATTTTATGTAATAAATTAAACACAATTATTTATAATAATGATAATTTATGATAATTATTTATAACGCATGATTCCAATGCTCATCATTGCTTGATATTATCGTTTATTATTTTCTATTTTCTTGACTGAAATCATAATACTATTCATAACACTATTCCTCGTGTTAAAAACAAATTTAAACAAATTTTAAAAAAAAATTAAAATATTATTTCTGATTAAACAGAAAAAAAAGAGCTTTAACTTACTTACTTATCGATATCAAAATAGAATCTTTGTGATGTGAATGCTGGTCGATTAAATTTGTGTAATAATCTAACTGTGTTTCGTACATCGTAACAATAAATACCATCTGACTGAAACGTTTTTTTAGACATTTTTAAAGGAAATTCATACGATATATTAATTATATTTTTAAATTATTTTTAACGAATCAAAAATTCCAAAATAAAAAAGAAAATACAAAAGCATATTTCGAAAAGAAAACAAAACTAACCTGTTTGCCAGAAGCGAAAAGTTTTCTACCATCTGAGGAAAAACGAACATGAGAAACACCAGATTCGGGACCATAGAAACTTAGCTGTGGCCCAAAGCATAAATTGGAATAAAGAGCAACTATAACAAAATCATGGAAAAAAAATTAAAATTTCATAAAATTATAAATTATTATAAAAAATTATAAATCTAATTTTCACAGCTTCGATTATTCCTAAAATAAATTTAGAATTTTTGGAATGTCATTCTTTTTCTAATAGTATATACCATTTGGCTAATAATTTCAACTATTATTACGATTAGAATTTGTCGCCAAAAGAATCGTTAAGCGTAGAAGAATAATTATATGCTACCAGCCACTCAAAGTTCAGTTTTAATGATAGGAATAAACAAGAGAAAATCGAATCCAAACTGTTTGCTTTCAGCGAAATATAAGCATCTCGCTTCATAAAAATTTCTACGTAAAAATGTAATAACCAAAAATTATAATAGAAATTTTCAAATTATCAATATTTCTCAATAAAGGAATTATTCTTAAAGAGAAATTTTTGAATAAATTGGGTAAGGAAATATGAAAAATTTTTATTCCTAGGGCAGATAAGAAAACATAAGAAAATTCTGCTTACTTGTACTTGTATATGACCCAGCTGCATATGTCCCCTCTATCACTGGATTCATAGCCAATGAAGAAATAATGCCTCTTTGACCACCCATTTCTTTTGCTAAATCAAAATAAATTCTTAAAAATTTCATGAAAACAGGAAAAATAGGAAATTACTAATGAAAAATATTACTCCAAGTAGATTGTTTCACAGATTCTCCAGTATTGATATCGAATGAGCGGACTGCGCTACGATAACCAGCATATAAATAGTTTCCGCACAATGAATAACATAATGAATATACTATATCAAAATCATCCTGAAATTTCGAAAAAATTCCTCATAATCTGATAGATTTATCCTAGTATTACATTTAACGAGTTTCCTGTAAATTTGTACTGCTTAATGTTACACACACTACATAAGATCTAATTAAGGAGAACCATTTCTGAGAACTATGTTCAGTAAGAATAATAAATATTAAAAGCTTTTGGTGAAAATATGCAAATTAGAAAAAGATAAACAATTAGAAGAAGATAAACGATATTAAAAGCAATATATAAATGAAAAAAATACCACTGCTGTCTTTGCACCAAATGCTTTAATTTCTTCACCTTTTATGTCATACATTCGAATTGGAGTATCTCTTGGTGCAAAAGCAACCAAATTTTCATTTGGATGCCAACAAAAATCAAACAGAACACATGTCATCGGAATCTCGTGAACAAAATGAAGCTAAAAATATTATAAAATATTCTTTCAAGCTAAAATTAATTGAATATTATTCAGCATTGGCAATTGTTAATTAATTAAAAATATATATTAAATATATAAAAATATATATCAAATTAATTAAAAAAATAATGAAAAATATACGCTAAAATATATATAAAATAAAATATTAAAAATATAATTAAAAGATGTCGATTTTTTCTATTTCGATCACCATCCTAGTTTTTTTTTCAAACTGATCGAAAAAAGAATTTTTAAAAATATATTCCATTAAATAAAGACAAAATAATCCCTGGAAAACTGAGCCAAAAAAGCCAAATAGCTGAGGTAAACTTTACACCACAATATTATGAAATGGTTATGCCATAATTAAATATTCCCTCGCTTGTTGCACCTATGCGGTTACAAGAGAATATGTGCCATTATCGACAATCTTTAGATAATGGAAAAAAACGAACAATTTTTATTGCTATCGGCGATGGCATCGGATAGAACAGCATGGAAACGTTTTACCCTTATAGCTAGCGGAGGCCGCCGCTTAACCAGTAATGGTGAACGCTGCTAGAAGAAGAAGATTTTCGACAATCAAAGGATATTTAAATTTCATCACGCATTCTTGCATTCTTGTACCATACAAATAATTTCGTTGTAGCGTTAAATTATTTTCATTTTCAACAATTAAAAAAAAATCAAGTTAGATTTTACAAAAGAAAAAAAAAAATTCTAACTGCAATAGAAGATTGTTTGAAGGAAAAAAATCGAATAACTCGATCCTGACTTGTGGTAACTAAAAATTCACCATTATAATTCCATTTACAATTTTTTAAATAATTATTGAAAATAAAATCAGCATTATACGTTTTTAATGCATCACGATATCTCTTCTTTTCACAAAAAACTATCCTATAATCGCCAAAATTTCTAGTGAATTGGTTCATTTGTGATCGTTCCGCTATTTCACTAGGTAAAATCTGAAAATAAATTATAAATTACTTAAAATTTTGATGCAAGAAATAATATTTGTTAAAAGAAAAATAATCAAAAAATTTTTTTTATTCTTTTCAATTTATTAATAAAATTACAAAAATTACGAAAAAGCTATTACTTATCATTATCACTACCATCTATCACTTTTTTGGTGCTTTCCCCACAAGGCTTTTCATTGATCCAACGATATCAGAGGTTTTCTTGCGTGCTCCGGTAGCCCCCCAGCTCTATTCTTGTTTTCTTCATGGGTTATTAATTTATTGATAAGGCAAATTGTTCGTTCCAATCCATTTTCACTACGGCCTTCCTGTTTTCACAGTTTCGCGACAATATTTTTGGAATTTGATGGGGCTGCTAGGGCATAGTAAAGATCAGCTAACAGTAGCCGGAAATGGACGAGTTCCACTAATAATGACATGACCTAACCTAAGGTAACAGCAGAATCAGCCAAGACCTGACATGATTTAGCTTAACATTTTTGGAATCACCGAGAATGAATCTAAACAGGGCGAAAAAAAATTTCGTGAAACTCACCTGAATAAAAATAATATAGGTAATTTAAAAAAGATTAAAACAAATAAAAATAAAATTAAAAATAAAAAATCAAGGCTGTGAATTCAGTACAATTGTAAACACCTACGGCGAAGTCAGTGATTTCCATCTCCCTATCTTTGGTGACAACTTTGGTGACATCCCTGCATTCATTTCCAGATGATTCATCTTTGTTCGCGGTTAACTTGACATTTCCAATTTTCTCTTCGGCGCTAACATTCGCGGTGTTTGTGGAGCTTTCTATGTGGATATTCGTTTCTTCCATTTTTTTATAATTTAAAACTGAAATTAAAAATGAATAAAATATTTATAATTTATTATGCAAATATTTTGCCGAGGATTTTTTGCCCATAAAAAAAAATCTAAAGCCCTTTGGAAAGGAAAGGTCAAAAGGTCAAATTGGAGTCATTTATTGATTTTTATAGATTTTGCACAAGTTTTAATCGATTTATTAATAAATAAAAGCATAAATTATTGATATTAAAGAAAAGATAAAATGAAGACAAACAAATTGGCGGAAAATTAGCGAAAAAATAGTTATAATCAACGATCAATGATCAACGAACATACTACAAAACACAAACTATAAAATGTAAATTTAACGATATTTAGTGGTTCTGGTACCACTTATGAGGATGAAAGGTCGTTCGGAGGTCATTCAAGGTTCACTCGATCAGTTGAAAGTCTACCTCCATTCATATATTCTAAAAATATTGAATGATTTGTCAAAAAATAATGAATGGATATCAATTGGGTTATCAGGTTTTTCTTAAAAGTTTTCTTAAAAATTTGATCATAAATGTTGAATTTCATAAGTACCATAGGTTATTGACTCAAGTTCCGTATTATCATTCGTACGATTATGATTCGGCTTAGAAGATCCGGGCGGTATCATTATATTTCTCTACCAAAATTGTCACATAACCGCCATGTTTTGCATTCATTGTATTGCCAGTGGTAATTCCTAGCCAGAAATTATAGGTGATGACCACTAATTGATATTACTAATTGATATTCTGTTATTTATCGATGAATAAGTTAAACAGTTCAGAAGAAGTGGGTTGCTTTTATTCACGTCTTTCTATGATTTTTTTTCAGGTGGATCCATGCCTAAATTGGTTGCACCAATTTTAGCCAATTTCGATTCAGTTATTCTATCTAAAACGCGGTTCTTTGTTGTGGATGAACGGATGGTTCCATTAACAGATCAAGAATCAAATACTGGATCCTATATGCGTCTTTTGCAACAAATAACACCATCATTTCCACAATATTACCCGATAGATAATAGTAAATTTGTTTTTTTTTATCGTTCTTTTTCTCCAATATTCACCATTTCGAGTTTTAGATGGTACCATTGGCTATTGTGGCGGGGGAATTTCTGATCTTTTCAAAATTAATGCCTAAAAGCTATAAAATCTAAAAAAACTAAGCCTTTCAAAAATATGTATTTTTATTAATAGTAATTTTATTAATAGTAATAGTAATTTAATATGAATTATTTATCGTGAATTTTATTTAAAATTTTTTATTTTATTTAAAATATTTTTAGCGAATGAATGTGCGAAGAATTATGAGATTGCCTTAAGAGATATGAAACCAACGATAAAGGATGGTTGGCCAGTTTTTGATCTTCTTTTGCTTGGCATAGGTCTTGATGGTCATACATGTTCTTTATTCCCAGGACATCCAATCCTTGGGGTAATCCTCGGGCTTATCTCTATTTTAATCGCGATAAAACTTGGAAAGAATGCTTTTTGTATTGTATTCTGATGATTATGATTGGTTACTAACAATATTTATTTAAAGGAGCAAAAGAGTTGGGTAGCTGCTATTGAAAATTCACCAAAACCGCCACCGAATCGGATCACATTAACCTTACCTGTCTTGAATCATGCCCGTAATGTTTGCTTTATTGTTACAGGGAAAGAGAAGACAAATATACTAAAGGTTTGTTCTAAATACAGCTTTTCTTACAATACGTTATTCGCAATATTTTTTGGTTTGGTTAGATTCATTGATTACTAGGATAGAAACTTTTGCCAAGAAAAGCTATAGATCTGTCAATTTTCATGACGAATTTTCCAAGCAAAACTGAATTAATATGCTGTTGCTGTTTGCTCTCAGGTGAAACAATTATTTTTCGACCATGTCACATTTCTAGTCTACTATTTTTATATATTATTTATTATTTTATTTATTTTATATATATGTATAAGTATATATATATATTTATATACTTTATATATTATATTATATATTATTTTATATATATATTATTTTTAAAAGTGGATCAGGAAAGATTTTGAACGTATAGGGTTACCAGCGATTTATGGATTTAGACGATGGGAAAAGGAATGGCCATTACCATCCATTACTAGCCTAACCAGTAATGGTGAGAGCCGTTAGAGGAAGAAGGATGAGAACCTTTTGTCAAGAAATGTTATAGATGATTGCCAATCAGCGGCTGTTGAATTTTCTAAGCAGAACTGAACCTATACTGTTTACTCTTAGGTGAAGCAATTGTTTTTCATCATATCACATTTGTACAGGTTTTATATACATTTTTAAAAATGAGCCTTATATTTTAGTTAATCATCAACGATGGAGATATGAGCCTACCAGCAACTCTTGTTAATCCTCGTAATATGCCAGTTTGGTTTATTGAGGACGTTATCGATTTGAATAAATAATTATTTAGGGTTTTTTCTTTTTTTGCAAAGAATTCCATTTAGAGGATTTAAGATAAATAAAAATGATTATCACGCTGATAAAAAGAAATACTTGCTGATATAAAAAAGATGTTTTGTATGCAAAATTAATTCGTGGATAACTTATCGATCAACTGTCAAATTAAAATTTCATCTTTCTTTTGATAAATTATTTTTTTTTTTTAAGAGCGATTAATATTTCTAATTAGATTTACTCAGCTGGCTTATCGGATTAGACAAATTTTACTTTATATCATTACACCATTTTAGATTTTGATTTTTTATTTTCTCTGCTTAATTGTCAACATTTTATTTGAAATGCAATCGATGAATTTCAAAATAAATGTTTATTTGTTAATAAATGTTTTTGTCAAATCTGTAAAATAAAATGGTGAATTTCTTTATTTAAAAAACTTAACTGGTTTCATTGGTTTATTGCAGCAAACTATTCTGCAATGGTTTACTTAACAATAGAGGAGTTATCGTAAGCATCACTCGCAAACACCAAATTTTCGAAAATAGAAAATAAATTTGTTATTTCTATCGAGATTAAAACTACTGAAATTTCCAAAATTACAGCAAAAATCTTAAACCACTTTGTGAAAAACCATGCATTTACAAATATCGATTCTTAATATAGGATGAAACAAATAGTAAAGCAAAATAATATAAATATATTAATAATAAATAAGCGAGTAATCAATAATATTAATTAATAACGAATAATTTTAAAATTTAAGTAATAAATAATTTTAATCTGATTAAACTCCAATGCTTATTTCAGTTAAAATATAATAAAGAATAATTATATTTCATGAAAGCGGCTTATTATTCTTTTTTTTAACTACTTTAAATATTTTATTGATTGAATCCACGGTTAAAGAGTTGTAGAATTCTTAAAATGGTTTGTAAATTCCGACGCATATGGTATTCCTAATTGCTTGGTACTAAACCTGTCAAAAGTAAAAAATAATCTGGTGAATAAAATGGCTCGTTGCTCAATTCCTGATGCCTAAAGTTTCACCTCCCGCAGGAGTAAACCTATCTAAAAATCTGGATGACACTGGCGACTCACCTGTGCTTCTATCGCCAAGCCACTCCTCGGCATATCTATCCAGTCCGATAAGTCGCGGAACGAGTAATGGTGAAGCATTTTGAAAAAGAAAAAGTCGTATTGGCATAAGCTATAGTATCTGACATATTGCGAGATATGCATTAATGATTCAACGGATGATGAACGACGAAGAACGCTGCTATATTTTAATTGCAACTGCCTTTAATTAATTAAAGTAAAATTAAATTAAAATTAGCGATTATTTACAACTTAAATTTTGAGGAAATTAATCCAAATTTAAAATTAATTTTAATTAAAAGTGGAAATTAATTTTGAAAAATTTAATAAATTTAATATTTGTAATTCAATAAAATTTTAATTTAATGAATTAATTTATCAAATTTAATCAAATAAATTAAATTTTAATTAAATTTCGAAATGTTCGAAAAAAAAATTCTTTTAAAGATTTCTTATTTAAAATTCTAAAACGAATCAGTCGGACCGACGTTCAGATTCCCCATTGATTTTGCAAATTTCTTGATTCCCTTTTCCCCTTAAAGTGAAAAATAGCCCCATCAACAAAAAAACCCTCGTGGTAATGACCACTCATTTCGAACTTTGTCAACTATGGCTGCAAATTTTCATGCTTCCATTAAAATGCAGCCGCCGTCTATGCTAAAACGCAGCTTCAACATTATTAAAACGCAGACTTTTAACTGTGGACTTTAAAAAGTTGCATTTTAGACTTTATGCCAAAAGTTTTTTATCAGAATTTCTTATCGTCAGAGGAACTTATCCAGGAATTTCGCATACAAACTTCTTATTTGTTGGCGCATAAATTTTAGTTTTCTTATTTTTGGAGTCAAATAATAAAATGAGCTGATAAGAATTTATTTAGTCTTAAAGCGGTTTTCTGGGAATACGATAGAGGAGAAAGAAAATCAGTCAGTCATACGGCTCTTAAATGTCGAGAATATTCTTCGTGGTGACGTATTGGTCGTTTGTCGTCGATTGAAGGCGAATTTATCGTTGGTGGCGATATTTTTCCGGACCGGAAAGTTGAAATCTTCTACTTGCATTTAAGTATTCTTTTAGCAAAGAAAGAACGGCTTGAAAAAATGGAGAGGAATTTTTTGTTTCTCGTGGAATTTTTTCAGAAAAGAAATCCGAATTATTGCGAAACATTTGTTGAAATTTTATCAAATCGAGAACTTAAAAATCGTAAACAGAAAACAGAAAAAATCGAATATAAAAGAAAAACGTCGATTAGCGGTTAAAAACGTCTTCTTTTCTAGCCAAATTGCCCAGTTGTTTTCTTGTTGCTTGGCCTTAAGCTTCTGAGGCTTGGCTGGTAGCTTCGCACTTCTGCGAGAGAATTAGCCTTGAGAGTAGTAGGTGTTTGATGATTGTGGTGAGTTGTCAGCGTTTTACTCGGATTTCGTCGTATTTGTAATCGCTGAGATGTTGTTTTGTATTGAATGTACTGATGTTGAGAGAGATGCTGCGATTTTATTAATAAATTTGCTATTTACAATTTAGATAATTTAAGTAAATTATTTTGTGCGTATTTGAGAAGTGGTTGTTTGCGTCTTTTGTGGAATTTGCGGAGAGATTTAACTAAAGGATTTATTTTTAGGATGAAATAATAGTTTGTAGTAATGAACGATCAAAAACAATTGGTTCTTTTATCCTATCCAATACCATCGAATGAAGATTATTTCGCTAAAAAGTTTGCTTTTTTTTTCTTTAATTTATTTCGTAAATTTTGAAATATAAATAAATTTTATTTAAAAAATAAAATAAAATCAAATTTAAAAGTATATTAAATAGAAAAATAAATTGAAAAAATAAATTTATATATTTTGCGAATGAAAACTCAACAAATATTCAATTTTGCAATAAAAAGTTAGGGTGAAATTAGCTTGAAATTTATGAAATAAAATATATAACGTAAAATTGTTTATAAAATATAATTATAAGTTAATAAGTTATAAGCTATATTTGGCAATGAATTTCAATAAATTTAGCAATAATTCAAACTAATATGGTTTCATTAAAATATGTGTTAATTGCAAACTTCGAAAATAAATAGTTGATAACTGAAAAGTTGGCAATTAAATAATTAACAAAAAAATTAATACCTGAATTGACAAATTTAATTGCCAAATGGTTATAAGAAATTCAGTTATTGACTAAAAGTACCCAAATTCCTTGAAATATTTGTATTTGTTAAATAATGAATCTCGTTGCATTTCGATTTTGAAGTAATTGAAAATTTGGTTAACTTATAAAATGTGTCTGTTTTATTGTAAGTATATTTATATTATGTTTTTAGATTAAAAGAAGTGGCTCATGCACGAAATTGTTTTGGTGCAATCTCTTCAGTTGCCCTCGGAAATATCGAAGCGTCAAGTATCATCCAAGTTGTTCTTGGGTCAAAATATGTTGCATTCCTATTTAAGGTAAGTAATGATGTTTTTCAATTTTTGTGCCTTATCTATCGTTTCTCTTGTTCCGTTTTTTTGCAAAAATATATTTGGCTATAGTTGGAATTTACTTTCTTTTTTTTCCTCATTATTATATTTTCAGGATGGTAATGTGGCTAGGTTAGGCTACAATTTTGTTAAATCGGAAAAAGATACAATTACTCATCGTGATGACAAGGCGCCATCAAGTGGAGGTTCTGGTCAAAATGGAGGATCAGAGGCCACTGCGATAAACTCTTTATCAACTAATCCTGGTAACACTGGCTTTTTTTGCATTGCATTTATCAAAAATGTTTCTTTTGTAAGTCGTACTTTTTTAAAATATTTATTAAGAAATCAATCATTCTTCCAGCTTTAAATCGTTCAGCGAAAATTCGGCGTGTTATGATGGCAGCCAGACGTCCAGGATCGTTAGGTGAACGTGCTGGAGTGATTGTTGATCGGACAAGATCACTTATTCCTTTGAGTGCCATACCTGAAGATCTCATTGCTCAAGCTCAGGTTTATCCCTTTACCAAATTTTTTAATTCTTATCGAGAGATATAGCAATATTCAAGGTGCATTGACCAATCTGATGGTCGTTATTTAATCAGGAATCTGAACCAGTTATTTAAAAAATCCTAGTTGAAAATTAAAAAAAACTTGTTGATGTGTAAAATTAGAATCGTCTTCCTTGATGTATTCTCAAAACATTCGCTTGCATTCGCTTAAAGTTCCTTTTGGCTTTTCATAATACTTTCAAATAAGTGATTTGTTCTACGAAACCTCATGAAAACCTATTTTGACCAAGATTTGGATGTGGTGTGATGGATTCTTAAACAGCTTCAATAGAGTTTTATTATGAAGTGAGGTTAACATAGGATAGAGAACATAAAAATAATTCCATTAATTGATTTTTAATAAGAACTGGGACGATATGATGAAGTGGGGTTAATGTAGTATGTACAAGAAACTCCAAAGTACTAAGTTATTTTTTATAAAGGAGGAGCGCGGTTTGATTAAATAGAGATGATTAAAGGGAGATTGTATTAAATTTTAAAGAAAGCGAAAGGGTATTATTATTAATAATTATCTCTTAGAAAATAATTTTTTTTGAAAGATGGAGCTGCAAAGGAGAATAAACAAAATTAAGGGATAAAATATGCTATTAAACTGAGGTTGAAGAAAAAATTGGAAAAAAAATTGATTTTGACATTAAAAAATGAGTTTTTTTGTGTAGATATGTATACTTATATGTAATACATATAATACATATAATTATATGTATATATATCTATATATAGTGTTTATGCGTTTTCACTGAAGAGTTTATGAAAATGTATTCTAATAACAATCATTATTTTTGGTTTGGTTTACTAACCTCTTGAGTGAGGTCTTGTTACTTGGTGAGGGCTAAATGTAGATGAGTTCTTGGTGTGATATAAAAAAGGATTGCTATATGCTTACAGGTTGTTTTGCAAGGAAAGCCTCGCGATGTGATTGTCCGAGAGTTACAAAGGACCAATTTAAATGTCAATGAGGCTGTAAACAATTTGCTCAGTCGAGATGATGAAGAAGGTTTACCATTCCTCGATTATAAGAAAAGAATTCTGTGCCAAAAAATTCTGCTTTTCCCATCATTTCAAAACATTAAATATATGAGAAAGGAATTCATGAAATATGATTTTCATGGTTATATTTTAGTATTATATAATATTTTTATCCGACTAGTTTTGTTGCTTTTTTGTAGGTGAAGATATGGATGAGGGCTCAGATGCATATTTACCAGAAGAATTACTTTCATTATTGGATGCTGGTTTAAGAGGCGACTCTCAAAATAGTGGGAATACTGCTGGTAGTGGTGGTAGTACTGCCGAAGATAGTTTTTATGGTACCGACTTTGACTATCTTATTGCAAGGGATTTTGCTAGGAGGCGAACAGAAAAGGGTAAAATATAATGCATTCGTATTTCGCGCAACTTTTTTCCTCATTTTTAGCAAATAAAAATCGATCGAAAAATATGTGTATTTTTTCTGGGTTTTGTTTAATATGCTTATCATTCTCTGCAGAAAAGAAAAATGAGAAAAGTAAAGACGTCCCTCCAACCGAAACAATTTCTAAACCAGTAATGGACATTAACTTACAATATTGGGCGAAAGAAAAGGTATTTATTTACTTTTTGCAAAATTTTTGCGGTAAAATCAAAAGCAGTCAAGTTTTACTGCGTATCTCAGTTAATCTTAATCTAAGTTTAGCAATGTTTATGAAAATCAAAAAGATAAGGAAAATGGGAAATTTCTTATTTTATTTTACTGATTTTAAGCCGATAGCTTGAACCAAGAGAAATTTCTCTAATTTGTTGTTAAAATGATCGTATTTATATCAATTAAATGAAATATTTATATTAAGTTTATATTTCCTCCTGGTGTGACAAAATTTATGAAAATCGCTTCAATGTCAAGTGAACTTATTGCGCTCGGTGATAATGGCTTTTTTTACGGATGGTCGTGGAATAATGATGGAAACGGTTCATTAACTGTTCATCCATTATGTATAAAATTACTTTCGGATGTATGTTTTTCAATTTTTTATTTTACATTATATTATATATTTTCACCGTGAAAAATCCAATACAAATGCAATACTTTGGCATACATACGGTTTTGCTTGTGCTGTTTGATTATTTTTTTAAAGTGAATATTTTTTTTATTGGCATTATTGATATTTTATCACATTATTGTTTTTTCATAATCACTGGGGATGAATCGAAATAGAAATTGTACTACATTTATTTTAGGCTTGCAATGATGAGAAGTTTATTGATATCGTAGCATGCGCTTATCGTGCAAGTGTAGTAACTTCCATGAATCGAGTGGGATCGTTTATGGATTGTGGCACTTGCGGCACGAAAATATCTGAAGCTTTATTTTTGCCGTTAAATTGTTTGCCTGATAATGAGAAGTACGCCTCAATGTATGTTTGCGCTTTGTATGCGTTGATTCGCACCCAGTCAAAGGCATATTACTGGTGGTATTTTTTTTCAAACTATTTTAATCTTCATTGTGTTTAGAAGTTTTGGTTCATTTTTGAACTTGATGGAAAAAAATTAGGAGTATGTTTGCATTTCTTAGGGGTGTATTCCCATTCAATGAGCGACGCAAACTTTGGGAACGAATGCGATCACGCTCTCGACGCCATGTTACCTTCGATGTTTCGGAAATCACAGAAGGATGTGAAGTCCGAACTAAATCGCAGCCGATTTATTGTACTGGATCGATTGCTGTTAACTTTAGCTCTGGAACTCCTATGGTTTGTTTTTTTTGAATTATATTCGTCAGTATCGTTTCAAAGGCTTTGGTTTTCTAATTTTTCAAATTTTTTACTATCTGGCATGATTTTTATGTTTTAGGTAGGCACTCTTATGGAATCAGCTTGGACTTTATCTGAATTATGTCGTTTCCAAGTACGAACTCCTTCTCAATATGATGAGGAAAAATTGAATGTTGAATATCCATCTTGTCATTCTTCGTCTTCATTAAATGGTAAGATATTCACAAATAGCAAATGATGTTCTTTTCATTAACGCTAAGTTTATTTTGGAAAATTACTTTTCGATTGGTTTTCAAAGTCAAATAGGTTTTTATCGACAATATAAAATATTTAAGAGGATATTAAAATTTTTGAAAAATGGTTTAGAATATTTTCGGAGAAAGATTGAGAAAATGGGAAATATTTAATAGCATTGCTATAAAAATTTTAGCGGAATAAAAGTTTCATAATTTTATTTCTTATTTTTATTTTTACATTATAGATAATAGAAAAAGGCCTTTCAATGAAAACGATGAATCGCATGTAAGAGAAACTGCATGGGCTTTAAATGAAGTTATCTTTGTTCATGAAGAATATTCACAGGATATTGGTATTGTTAAAATTGTAAGTCGACTTACCCTTTATTTTTCTATTGTGTTAGTGTTTACCATCATTTCTGGCCTGATACTACTGGAAATAATACTTTTCCATCATAGAATTTGATAGTAAAGATGAAACTAGATCTTTTGAGCTACAAGAAATAATTTATAATTTGTCCTTAAATATTAGTAATAAATAATAAATAATTTAATAAGATAATAAATAATTTTATAAGATTTTGTAAAATATTCTTGTTAAAAATATATAAAAAATGAAATTTTCAACAAAAATTTTTTATATTTAGGTAGATGGTGCCTATTGCGGTGTCATTTTTCGACCTATCGGAGTCACATCTGAGGCAGATAGTGACCAAATTGAACTGCGAAAAATTCGCTTAATGCACAAAGAAGATTTGGTTGTCGTATCAGCAGCTAATAAATCGCGTTCTCCAGACAATTTTCAGTCCATTTTGTTAAAAATACCTTTCCCTGTTTCAATATTATCTCGAAAAATTCATGCTGTCGCAGTTGATAATATCGGTAGAATTCTTTCGATTTTTTAATCTAACTTTCGTTCTTTAATTAATACATTTATTTATTTAACTTATTTTTTATCAGGAATACGCATGCTGGCTGAAAAAAGGGGCCGATTTCATCTTTTACGAGTCAGTGTTTTTGGCAAAATTTTAAGTGACCATCTTCTACCGCTTAATGATAGTGTATTCCATGGACCTTGTGTACCAAGCTTGGAAAATTACGGCGATGTACGCATTTACATTTTTTATGGTTTTTTTTATCTGGTAACAGCGCCATTATTGGTTATTATTATTGGCTGTGTCGGCTACAGTCGTGGGACTTTTCCTTTGCGCCATTTTGGAAATTAGCTGGACCCATTTCTTTTTCAATCGCCTAAGTCCATCTGTCGGTGGACCACCATGCCTTCAGTTATTTCTTTATCTTGGTGCTATCCATCGCAAAATCAGACATTTTACGTCAGAAGATGTGCGCCATTTCTTTATATGGGTAACTAAAAACTTGTTCTGATCAATGTAGGCGATACACTGAAATACTGAAGATACTTTAATGTAGATAGTATTCGGAATAATGTGAGGTTTCTATCCGTATGGCAAGTATCTTAGGTAGGAACGGTTTAGATAGTGATATCTTCAATCTTCATATCTTTCATAGCTGAATTTTGACCACCCAGCTGTGATGCGATTTTTTTTCATGGTAGTTTAACTATGGTTTGTCAGGTGGAAGAAATAAATCATAACCATCCGCGTCGAATATTTTTTACTTATTTATCAGCAAGAAGAACTACATATAATAATGAGAGATCTGATGCTTCAAATTGATTTGCACGATTCTCTCTTAATTACTATCGGATATATAAGATTGAATAAAAGGACAGAGAAATTTGTTAGAAAATTAAAAAAAATTTTTATGGAACCATTGGACGGAGTACCGATGGATCGTTAGCACCAACTGATCTTCTTTAGTTTATTTAGGTTAATTTTATCTCTTTTCTTAAGGAGCAGAGGCAGAACTGGATGGATAAAAGGGTTCAAATTATTGAGTTGTAAGATATGCACTGTTGTTTCTGGTAGGAATAAAAAAGATCAGGTGGTGCTAACGACCCGCCGATACTCCATCCAATGGTTCCATTAAAAATTTTTTTAATTTTCTAACAAATTTCTGACGTATTAGGAACCAATTTAACTAGCTAGACCAGAAATGAAAGCAATCATCATTTAATTTTTTAATTTTAGCATTCTCATTATAATAATCCATAGGAATCTATAATGGTTATTCGAGATAGTAATGGATCGATGATACCATTAACGAGAGATGCTGTTGGAGGATTCCTTGAGACACTTCACTTGGAATTGCCTCCTGTTCATAAATTTGTTGTTGGAATTCGACCATTAGATAAAAGTTCTGTGGTTGCGCAGACTGCTTCAAATTCTTCTACTGGTATAATTCATTTATATTTAAAATTTTGCTGATAAACTAAACTACTCGGTTCTTCAGTTTTCTTTAAAACTCAATTTCTATTTGAAAAAATTTCTGTTTTTAAGGATCAAATCGAGTAGTAGCGAATCGATCTGCTGTGTTATTCGCAATTATGGCTCCTTCACCTTTTTCTGTGCAACCATCCATTCCATCTTTAATTCAGACAGTGTTGTACTGTGATGTAAAAGGAGTTGAATTGATTTTGGATACTTTACATAATGAATGCTGTAAGTTTTACCTGAAAGGTATATCATCATTCTTATTAGCAAAATTGACTTTTTAAAACCTGATAATTTGGAGATTTAAAATGATAAAGATTTAGTGGAAAAAAAATAAAGCAATATTGTATAATTAGGTGCTGAATTAACTCGATCAGAAATTTTAAATCGTAGCGATGGTAATCGGACAATCCTTCATACTGCAATAATGTTTGCTTCTCCTTCGACAAATCGAGATAATGCGGATGTTGGTAATTTGTTTGCGGAAATTAACAAAAAAATTATCGATAGAGGTAAGTTCTGTTGCAATAGCGTTTAGTTATTTATAGTTTGTATTTAGGATGAGGACTTTCCATGTTGATTAAATCAAATAAAATTTGTTTTTGTCCGTTAAAAAAATTATATATATATATATATATTTGTCTAAAATAAAACAAATTTGAAGATGTGAAAAATGCAGATGGAAACCACGAAAATGAGAAACATTGGCGTCAGATGTTGAGAAATCGTTCAGATGCTAATAAGTAATACTTTTCTATTTTGTTCAGTATTTGAAAATATTTGAAATTCTCTAAGATTTCATTCAAAACTCTCATTTAGGGAGCAGTTGATCAAAGAATTGATTCCAAATGCGCCTTGTTCCAGAATTGATGTGGAAGAAGGTATTTCCACTAGTTTTTTCAATAAATTTATTTTAAAAATTAAAAAATGACCAGAAAAAACTATGGAAGCCATTATTTTTTTTTTTAACCATTGTTACCTTTATCTTTTAATTGTGGCGATTCTTAGCAAAACTTTCTTTATGCTGCGTGATTTTATCTCAAATAATTTTTTGTTATGAAAATCGGAATTATCAATTATAAAAGTAGCAGACGATAACAATTAAACACTTGGCATTCAAAAACTTTTTGTTGATCCATTTTGTTGAAAATAAATTTTTCAGTTTTGGCTGGTATAGCAAAAAGTATTGATGAGCGAATAACTTGCTTTGTCGATGATATAAAAGATGATTGTTCGAAATTTAATTTTTTTTTTTTTAATTTCGATTATTCTTCACATTGTTCATTTTCTGGAGAATTGGAAAATTTTTTTGATTTTGGAATTGGCGAATTTTTTCTTGCTTCCAATTTTTTTCAAGATTATTTTTTATAGCTATGATATGATACTTCTTTTTTCAGCTATAATGCCTATAATTGTCACACCAATTACTGATATCAAACAGCGTCAACTTAATGCAACAGAAATTATCAGAATCATTTGCACACATCCTGCCATCGCACCACACTTAATGGAACTTCTCACGACTAGGTTAGTAGAGGGGAAAATTTTCCTTGGACCTTTTTAATATACACATTGTATAGCACTGTTGCGTTTGAAACTTTTTGAAATCACATATTTTATTTTAAAAGTTTTTATTATTAAATTTTATTAAAGGTTTAAAAAAAGTTTTTATTTAAAAGTTTTTGTTTTTATGTTTTGTCAGTATCAAATTTTATTCTTTATTATATCAGTTTCCAGAGATATAAATGGGCATACTCCATTTATGTGTGCAGTTAATGTTAGAGCTTATACGGCAGCACACATTATTTGGAATTGTATCGAACGTCTTTCGCAAGGAAATCCTTCTGGTTTTTTTTTCAATTTTAATTTTTTAACATTCGTTTCTTCTCTGTACTTATTTATTTGGTTTAAACTTAGTTATAAAATTATTTCTTTCGTTGCCCAGATTTTAGACACAAAGTGCGAAAAGAGTGTTATTTCGAAATATTTATGAAATATATATCTATGAAATACATGTTTGTGAAATTTTTTGCAATATTTTAACGATAAAGCGATTCATTTATTTTATTTTATTTCAGATAATGTATCTCTACGTAATAGTGATAACTTCTTTCATTCAGCCATATTTCCACCGGGTTCTCGAGTTGATGACTCTCCCTTATTTGTTTTATGTGCTAACGATACGTGTAGTTTTACATGGACTGGTGATGAACATATCAATCAAGTTTGTTGTTAATTTTCTTTTGTTGTTTATATTTGTTTGGTTTTTTATATTTATATAACTAGCTAAATGAATTTTACTTATATTCTATCAAAAATTGATCGGTTTTAATGGTGTCAACAGAATAAAAAATTGTAATTGTGATGCTATGATTCCTTCATTATTTATTAATATCCTTGGCGCTAATTCATTTCATCAGAATAAAATTTAAGATAAATTATTAGTTACTTATAAAAATTATGTTATAGGATATATTTGAATGTAAAACATGTGGCTTGGTGGGTTCATTATGTTGCTGTACAGAGTGTGCTTTCACTTGTCATAGAAATCATGATTGCCAGTAAATTTCAATTCTCATTTTCAATTCAATTGCAGTTCTCATTTATTCTTATTTTATTCTCGTTATTCTCAATTTTATTTTCATTTTTTTTCATTTTTTTTATATTTCGCCTATACCATGAAGAAAGCTGGATGGCAATACTTTTTTTCTTCCTGAAAAAACTATCTCTTCTTTGCTAGATTCATGAGGTCATGAGAACATTCACTTGTTTTAGTCTTAAAAGAACGTCTCCTACAGCCTATTGTGATTGTTGGGAAAGGTGTTCATGTAAAGCCCTTGTTGCTGGTAATACCGCAGAACGCGAAAAGTTATTAGAAATATTGATACGAGAAACTGATCTTATTCACGAAATCAATTCAAGGTTTGTTTAATCGCAAGAATTCCAGGTAAATTTCACAAATTGTTTTTTAACGTACGTTTACATCTTTATACTTTTTTTTTTAGAGGCGAGCACTTATTGTTATTTCTTGCACGGACCGTTGGGAGACAGTTAATTGAACAAGAAGGTAGTCAACGGCGTTCGAACAAAGCGAAAACATCAGCATCTGGTTTGTCATTTTTATAATATGCAATACATTTGTATTTGAGGCAGGAATGTTCGAACATTTTACATTTTCTTTTCATTTTTCGATAGTTATTGTAAAAATGAACAAATATGGATTCATATCGATATTCTCCTTTTTTAACAAATTTCTTTGTTTTTTATAAAAAATAAACTAAAATTGGTTCCTTTTGTTGAGTGGTATAAAAAATTGTAAAAAATTTTGATTTTTGGTTCTTTTCTGGAATTTCTTTATTTAGATCAAGTTCGAGAACATGATTTGGAACCACCCAAATTTGCCAGAACTGCATTCTCAAAACTTTTATCAGATTGGCGTTCGGTAAAAAGCCTATTAATGTATGGAACCAGAGAAACACAAAAGTTAGCATTGCAATTTTGTAAAATTTTAATTTTTTAAAATGGTTTTATATTATAATTTTTTAGCGACAATGTTATTTCTGAAGAGATGTTTTATTTAAATCGTCAAAATGGCACTTCACAGTTAGACAAATTTGTGTTCGTATTAATTTCCAAATGTACTGAATCGGTTGGTTTTTTTTTAATTTTTTTAGCAGTTTTATTTTATAATATGCATTCGAATAATCTAATCCAGTAATTCTTTTTTCTAGCATATCGATACCTTGTTGAATACTTTGATCGCAGAATCTAATCAAAGACAATGGACAAGTGGAGAAAGAGATGCACAGGTCGATTTCATTATAGCGAGATTTATTCGTTCCGTGATAAGGTACTTTTTTTTCTTTTTTTGATTTGCTTATTTGCAGTCTATAATTCAGTAGATGTGGTTTTTTCATTTATATTATTTCCTTCAAAGCTAAAAACAGTTATATTTAATGTTTTATATTTAATGTTTATATATTACATAATATTCAAATTATATTCGTAAAGTTTTTCGCCCTTTTGATTTACCTAATACCTTTGGCATGGTTTCTATGTACCTTTTTTTAAGGATATTCACATTGGTAACTCTCTTAGCACCGGATTATGCTGGTGTGTCTTCTGGTTTTATGAGTTCTTTATCTAGTACAGATTCTTCATATAGGTTAGTTAAATTATTATTTAAATTATTATTTGTTTTTTTTACATATCCAATATTTTTTTCAGTGTTTCAACACTTTCAATATTATTTTTTTTTTTGCTTTTTCTGTTTTCTTTCATGAATTTTTTATTATCATAATTATTATCAATTTTTCATTGTCATTAATTATAACTTATCTCAATTTTTGGATTTATATTTTCGTCAAAGTGTATATATATATGTAATTATATAAGTTGTAAAAATTTTTTCAATTTTTCAGGCGTTCTTTTGAAAGCGGATTTCATACTTTTAGTGTCTCTAATCTTCATTCATTGCCTAGAATTGGTAGAATTCCTGCTTCCCGCGAAGGAAAAGCAGCAAGAGATGCAAGGAGAAATAAGTGAGATTTAATTTTTTCTTTTCAATTTTTCCTCCAGAACATAGTTTCCGATTTCATTTTCACTAAATTATAATGTTAGTATAGAAGGGTTACCATGTTCTTCATTTGGTTATCGATCTTGTACCAAAAGATATAATTGACATGATCATTTATTTTACCGTTTATTAAAATATCTCATTTGTTTCTAAAACTTCGAATTTTATTTGGAGAATACTATAAGCCATTTGTATTCTTAAAGGTGTAATGTCACAACGGTTGTGCACAAATGTCGACGTATTTTTTTCACGATGATTGCTTATTCAATTAGTGAGTTGTGTAATGCTGCTGATTCATTAATTGCTCCTGTACGTCTTGGTGTTGTTCATCCTAGTACCATTGTGCAATTAACAAACCATTCAACGGATTGTCTTGAGGTGAACTGTTGATATTAATAAATCTACCCCTTTGTTTTCTATCAAACTGTTCCATTTTATCAGATAATTGTTCACTTTCAGGCTATTGAACTTTATTTGGCATCAGAAGTTGATCTCTCATCAGTTTCTATAAAAAATAGTGATTCTACAAGGATAAAATCGAAACGATACTCCGTATGTTATTTTTTGTTTTAAATCATTGTAATTCATCAAAGATTGGCTTGAAAATTTGCATCGAATTTTTTTTATTTACATTTTTATGAAAAAGAAAATTCAGCGAGGAAATCGACGTTCCGCACGAAACGAGAATTATCGAACAAACAACAGTGCGCTGAATTCTTTGACGAGAATTACAAACAGTGATAACTCGAGTGAATCTAATGATGATGGTTTGCCTTTATTTTTAATTTGTTTTTCGATTTTTTTTGAATCTCGTATTATATTTCCATGTTTTAGAAAGAGCTGCAGCAAATTTTGATGACGAGGAGTTATATAGTGCATCTGGTGATGGTGAAGATTCTGTTTATTCAGTTGCAACTCCGTCGGAGATTGATGTAGGTGAAGTTTCGGCTGAAGATGATAATTATGGAGATAATTTCGATCTGCTTGAGGATGATGCTAGTATGTGGACATTTTTATGTGTTTCTTTTTTATGGGTGGTTTATTTTTTAAAAAGTGAAAAAATAAAAGTCAACTTTTCCACAGGGACTGGCGTTGAATTTAATCGCGATACTAATCATGGTAACGATGGTGGGAGTCGTCTGTATGAGCGAGGTGATGAAGGTTATGAGATGGATGATGGAAGTTACGAAAGAAATGATGAGCGCGATGAAGGAGAGATGAATGAGAATCAAGAAGGAGATGGTGAGGAAGATGATGAACGAGATGATGACGGGAGCGAAAGCACTTTTAGTGAAAGCAATCGCGAAACAGAAGGTATTGTTTTTTTTTCTTTGATCAATTCACTTAAACATAAAACTTTGTAGTGGTGTTGGTATTCTTATTTCTATTTCTGTGGTTCTAAATGATTTATTGGCTAGGGAGTTTCATTGAATCTTGATAATTAATAAAGCCAGCCGAAAATTACCATTTGAGGATTTCGTCTTATTGTTTTTTATATTTACAATGCTTTTTTAGAAGCATCTTCGAATCAGGCTGTTCACAATGAAAGAATTGATGAGCGTCAAGAAGACGAATCTCAGCGTCGAGTTTCCCGTTCTGATGTGTCAAACAATGAGGAAAATTCGAATGAACCGGTTTAAATTAATCATTTATATTTTTGCGATGATTTTAGTTGGTATAATACGATTTATATTTAGCAAAATTATGAGTTACAACAAAATATTTTCAGCACAGGAGAGAAGATTTGGCTTCCACTAATCAAAGTTTTCATCGTGCTAGCGATAATTCTTCTTCGCCAACAAGAGCACATGTTGGACGTGTCGTTGTAGACAGATCTGGTATAATTAATCTCGATTTTTTCGAGGATTCCACATTTTCTTATTTTTTACATTTTCATAGTTTTTAGCTTCAACTGAAGAAATTAATTCATCTAATAACAATGGTTCAGCGAGGACGAGTGGAGTTACAAGTGGCCGTAATAACTGTTAGGCTTTCCTTTTTTGAGTGAAGAGAACTTTCGAAGTTTTTCAATTTATTGCTACTACTTTATTACTAAATTCATTTGAATCATTCTTGCATTTTGCATTTTCTATTTTTTTGTAATTCTAGCTATACCTTTGTCATGGGCAATTCGTCGAATATCATCGAATAGATACAACCGTCAGCGGCATCAGAATAATCGTGAAGGTGCTTACATTTGAAATTTTTTGCAAAATTGTCTTAAATTTTTTCTCAGATTAAAAATGTTTTTTAATCGTTTTTCATGGAGTGCTGTTTTAGATGATAGTGAGACTTATATTGTGGATGTACGGCCCACATTACGTTCTAATGCGAATTCGCTGCAGAATGGTGCCAGTATTGAAGAAGATTCTCACTGCTCTGTAACTAAAACGTCTCAGCAGCTTTCAATGTGCTTTTCAATCTTGATAAAGTAATGGGATTGAAAAGAAATTTCCTTTTTATAATTGATCCTTAATAAGAAAGGGCTAGGCGAAATAACAAAGCTTTCTATTATTTTGCTACTTTTTCCTTAGTTGATCTTAATTGAATTCACTGTCACTCAAAATCTAAGGGATTCTTTATAATGTTTGTGAAATTGTTTCTTTATGATTTTCTTTTTTCAGGTCTATCGTTGAACTTTTACCCATATTAGTAGATTTTCGTGATTATAGTAAAAGTTCCTATATGCATATTCCAAAAATGTTGGAGCTAAATGATTCAGTTGTCCTCGCAATTCGAGTAAGCTTTTTTATTTACATATCATCATGATTATGTAAAGTGTTTTTGATTATGTAAAGTGTTTGATTATGTAAAGTGTTTTTAGTGTCTTGATCTCTTTTCTTACTGAAAATTTTTCATAATTTTTTAGAAAATTTCAAAAATTGTTCAAATTAATCATTGCAGCAACTGGTAGAAGAACGTTTGGCATCAACTTGGCAGTGGTTGGCTACAGTTTTAGATAAAACCGAGGCTAAATTACGTTTTGGAAATGCTTTAATATCTACACCTGCCGGTTTATTTATCAGTAATCGCAGCTCGAAACCCTTCTCTCAGAAAAGTAGTGGCAAAAGCACTAGGTAACTTTTAACTTTCAAAAATTTATATTTTACTATTCCAGATATATTTCAGATAATTTTCAAATTGTTCTAACTAATATTATTATTTTTGAAAATATTCTTTTTATTTACATACTTTATAAATATACTTTTTATTTATGTATATATTAAAACACTTAGAAAATTTATGTATTTTTCGTGATATTTTGTCCTTGGAGCCGCGTATTTTTTCGTAATGTATTTTGTATCACTGTTTTTCCCTTTAACTTCGATTTTTTTTTTTCTTATGGCATGAATAGAAGTTTGCTTTTTGTCTTACGCGTTTTCCCTTCAAATTTTTCATAAAAAAACTAGATTCTGGCTCTTATGAGATTAGGCTATAGTATCGAAACAACTCGAATTACGGAAACTCCTTGTCATCGTAACTAAAGAAGAATAAAATAGTTCGCGAGTTTTAGATTCAGATCTGGAAATATGGCTCTCGAAATAGATTTGCTCAAGTGAGTGAAAAGAAAATTCTTAATGAGTGAAAAAATCTGCACAGAGGCTTTACAAATTTCTCGCAAGAAGGAGCGTTTCGCCTTATTATTTAATCACGTACTGGAGAAAAAGATGCTTGAAAGATGAGTATTCTACGATTTTGAGATATTTCCTCACCATTAATGCGGCACATTGATGGCGCTTTTCATTTTTATTATGCAAAATGGATTTTGTATTGTCACAAAGTTAGTCCTGTGGTCCGAATCGCATGCTCGATTTCGAATAAAACTGTGGTATTTTTTGTTGGTGTGCTGGAAGAATGGTTCTTTATAGTTTTTTAAATGTTTTGATCGTTGAGCAATGATCGAAAATAAAATAATCATTCGGTATCGCAATGCCAAGTCAAAATTTTGCTTACTTGAACTCGATGTCAGTTTTTCTCAAATTTCTTCCCATTTTCACTTCTTTCTGTCTGCTTACTCAAGAAGAAATATTGGAAACAGGAAGATCTTGACAAGTTATTAATGATCGAATGTTTTCAAACAGGAGGATACTTTCATTAGTTTATTGCAAAGAACCAAATTTTCTTGCATTAGAATGTATGTGCATTGGCGTTATTTTAATGAAGTTATTTAAATATTCATTTTCTATTAAGTTGTAAGTCGATTGTTTAAAATTAATTTTTTTTCGATTTTATCTTTATTATTCTTTTTTTAGAAAACGTGGCCGGTCAGATTCTGTTGCACAGAATAACCAAACATCTCGAAACGAATTTAGATTTCTGCCTGATTCAACTAGTGCTCGTGATTCAAACAACGGTCGTGATAAAGGTTGAAATATTTAATAAATATTTAATATTTAAATATTTAATATTTAATAATCCTTATCATCTATAATCCTTTCATGGTCCAATTGGTTTTGAGATCATTGTTTTACTTAATGAGTGAATTTGGATTCTTGCGAGAATATGATCATTTATCCATTAGGCAGCTGAACATGAGACATTGAGAGACATTCTTTTTCTCTTTTTTGTACTTTTTATTGTTTTAGCGCCAGATGACAAAAATGATACTGTTGCATCTCGAAATGATTTCATTAACTACTTTCTTTCGCTTATGCGTTCGCATTCTTCCGAGAATGGTGATGATTTACCAGTAATCGAATTTGGTACACTGAAATCGCTGATTTATGTAGCAGATGCATATTTACTTTTCATTGATATGCTTGAAAAAATTGATTCGCAAATTGCTGCTAACCAGGAAATAACTAAAGATGCTGCTACATGTGATAAACAAATAATTGATATGTTTCAAAAGGATGAATTGGTAAGTTGCATTAGCAATTTAATTGGATAGAGCAAATTAATTTCGTATATTCATGAAATGATGCTTTAAATCTGAATTTGGTTTGGTTCTGATCTGATAGCTTTGTTGTGGCTTTCAGAGGTAATAGAATAAATAATTTCTTATATAATATGAATCTAATATATTTATTTATCATCCGCTTATATTTTTGGTTTAACTTTTGATAATTTTTTATTTTAGGAAGTGGAAAGTACCAATTGGACTTGTATTGCTGCGAAAAATATGTTCTTTAAGGTAATTTCTTTCATTTTTTAAATGCATTTTTGAGGGATTGTGATATCGACCATATCGTCTAAACCTTCAGATTTTTTTTTGTATAACTGATTATAAAGTAAAACTGGTTTTAAAGGTTTAGAGATTCATGAAAATAAGTAAAATGAAAAATATTTGTGTTCTAATATGCTTTATAGCAACAAAAGTTTTTTTTTTTGCTTTTTTATTTCTTTTTTATTTCAAAAAATTTTTTTTCAGCGGTCCAGTTCTTTATTGTATCCTGGCATCACAGATATATCCAGCCGTCACGCATTTGAACATAAATGTTCTGAATCACTTGCATTGGCAGAGAGACCACATTTGCTTAAGCCTGGAGTAGAGAAGGAAGAAATGTTTGGTTTACCTGTCAGGCCAAGATCTTTCGCTGAACATGAAGTTTCTTAAATAATATTGCCATCTTATTACTCTATGAAAGAAATTTTTTATTTCCATTGAATGATGATTAAAGGATCATAAGAAGATATTAGATATTAAATTTATTCAGTTTTTTGGAAAATTAATTCTCCATTGCAGAAAAATGCTCGAGAACATGGGATTGAAAATGTCACTCATCAAGGATTTGCAGAACCTTGGTCCCATTTTATGCAATTATCGTCTCTTGTTGTTTCCGGTACCAGTTTCATAATCTCTTTTTTCGCTTATCTTTTATGCAAAAAAATTGATATATATTACTAAAATGAAAATTCTGCGATTTTTCAAGGATCAATTTCAGATGGAACAAATATTAATCAAATGCAGGGTAGGCCGAATGTGATTGTTCATTCCAAAAATTTGCCTTGTATTTCGCCAGTAAGAGGTTTCTTTTAAGTCAACATTTTAGTTTTTAATTTGTGAGTGATGAAATACTAATGAAAATTGGTGTGGATGCAGCTTTTTTCATCGAGCTATAGAAAAAAAATTAGTGGTGGAGTAATTTGCTCCCATGGGAATTAAGGATTCGATTTTTTTACTGTTTGGATCTGAGTGATACATTAGTGTGAAAATTTATTTCAAAAAAGGATCAACAAAATTCTGTAACTCAGCTGAAACGCAGTAGGAGAGATCCAGCTGATTCGGTGGAGCTCATTCCAGATGTGGCTGAGAATTATCTCAGGCTTTGAAATGATCGAATTTGAAAGATCCAGATATGAAGTGCTGAGAAAAGAATGTTCCTTCATTCAATAAATTTTTTTAATTTCAGAAAAATTGGAATCTCCGCAGTCATCTAGTGATAAATTGCCACCTAGAGGTTTCACACCTATTCGAGTTATAGAACAAGATATTCCTAATCAGTTGCAGAAATACTTTTCTCGGTGGAAACATGCACTTAATATTATGACCAAGGTTTTTTATTATTTGTTCTTGGCTCAGCGACATTTCTTCTAACTCTCACCATTATATTGATTAAGCTGACTGCAATGTTTAAGATATCTCCAAGCCCTTCTGCCATCACTGTTAGTAATAGAAGCCATTCCTTTTTCCTTCGTCTAAGTCCATATATCTCTGGTCCCCTCATTTATTCAAAAAAATTTTCTGATTGCATAGTCCAGCTTTTAATTGGCTCTTTTCGTTTTTGACCAGAACCATCACAAGGTCTGGAAAGTAGCGAAATATGCGTTCTTGAAGTGGACGATATCTCAAATTATTTTTGCGTTTATCTTTTTATACTTTTAGATCGTTTAACTTTTCTTTAGAATTAATTGCTTGTATTGTTATTTTAGGCTTATCATCAACAGTTACTGGTAACATGCGGCGATGAAATAGGTAGTTCATTATTACTGTCAGAAATGGCTGGATTTTCAGTTCGTGAAGAGCAGTTCCGGAAAAAAATGGAAAGGTTTCGAAATGCCGTGTCGAGGGATTTAGTGTTTGAGGTTGTAACTATTTTTAATCATTTTATATCTTTGTAATAATTTAATTAAAAATAATTTTTCAGGTTGAACGTGATAAAGAAAAATTAATCGCTCAGACATTTCATCAACTAAATGAGCAATACAAACGTAGAACAGCGGGTACAGCATCTAGCACGCCGCATGCTGTTGGAACTAGTGATGGCAATTCTCAATCATCTGTCACTCGTGTACTTTTCGGACGGGTGCAAAGTGCAATAAGTTCTGCTGCTCCAGTTTTCTCTGATAATTCCATCAATGCTCCTCCTTTGGCTTGTTATAAGGTTTTGTTTTTTTTTAAAATTTGTTATTTTCTCTTGAATTAACTAATGGAATGCTACAGGTTAAAGTGACATTCAAAGACGAACCTGGTGAAGGCAGTGGTGTTGCACGTAGTTTTTATACAGCAATAGCGGATGCTTTTCTTACTATGCAGTCTTTGCCCAGTGAAACATATGTAGCTACGGCTTTTGGTCCTTCTCCTGATACTAATTCTTCAGGTATAATTTATTTTAGGGCTTACTTGTCCTTTTGTTGCTTTTTTCCTTTTTCTTCTTTTCTTTATTCCATGCCAAAGATTATTTTGCATTGTGCCAAAGATTATAGGTTCGCGATTGCGTGAAAGAAATGCTTTTAGAGAAAGAAGTACAATACTTTTTGGAAATATAAGCTTTCCCGGGCGTCGACGGAACTTACGGAGGCAAATGTTTCATTGCTTTTCTTTAGTTTTCATTAGAAGCTTTATCTTTTGGTAATCCTTATGTTTATATTTTATATTTTGTTATATTCGATATTTTTTAGCCGACCCGTACTATCTGTAAATTCTCAGCCATATTTTTCCGTGCAACAACCACATTTAAACCAACCGCAAAATAGTGGTAATACTAGTGGAAATTCAACCTCATCAAATGTGGATAGGCTTGCTCCTATGCCTCATTGGGAGCCTGAACGAGAAGCTCTTGGAGAACGTCTTTTGGTTAAGGTCCAAGCCATGAAACCGGTATATTCATTTTTTTCCTTGTCGAATGCTTAATATTCGATATTCATGCGAAATTCCCTTTGAAATTTATTTTTGATATAAATTTTTCTCTTTTTAGTTGTTGTGCAACAAGATAACAGGTATGATACTCGATTTGACAGCACATCAAGTTGTTGCTTTACTTGCCCGCGAAGAATTATTACGAAGTCACGTTGAAGAAGCTGCAGAAATGTTAGCAGCGGCAGGTTTCACTACTAATGAAGTGCGAGATGATACAATGCAGGAGCAGGTTGATGCTGTTAAAGTCGGCACAGCAATTTTGAAAGCAGCTAGTTTACCCAATCTTCAAAGTATTTAAATTTTAAATTTTATAATTTTTTAAATTTTATAATTTTTTTGCTGTTATTGTTATTTATTATATTCGTTACCAATATTTTTTTCTAAGTTGAAGCGCAAGAATGAATTTATTTCTATTGTACTTCAGCATCTCCCAGTCGTTTTGCTTCGGGTGATGATCTTGCTCCTCTGTTTTATCGACCTAGTCGAAATGGTTATTATACTCCTATCGCTGGCAAAAATTCCACACATAGGCTTCGTGCTTTCAGAAATGTTGGCAGGTATATTCTTAAATAGAATTTCATAAATATATATAATTCAATAGTATAAATGAAATATTATGAAAAGGCAGTTATGAATATTTTATTATCATTTTGTATTTCTTTGAACCGCATAAATTACATTTATACTATTTGGACTTCGAAAATTTGAAATATTAAAAAAAATATTTTCAGGATAATTGGTGTCTGCCTATTTCAAATGGAACTTTTCCCATTGCATGTTTGTCGCCATGTTCTTAAATTTATTCTTGGTCGCCCCATAAATTGGTTTGATCTTGCATTTTATGATCCTGAACTTTTTGAATCATTGCGTATGCTAGTATTCAACGACGGCTCTATGCAGGCACAACAAGTCAGCGATCTCGGTCTTACTTTTTCTGTCAATCTACCTGCTGAAGAGGTAATTAAATCTTTCCATTGTTTTGTATAATCCTGAAAGTAATTCGCTTTTTTTCGATTTCATAGAATTATTATTTTAGGGTGGTGGTACGATCGAATTGAAACCTGGTGGATCAGATATAGAAGTAACTCATGAGAATGTTATAGAATATATATATTTGTTTGTAGAAGCTCGTATGCTTGGCAGTCATTTGAAATGTCTTGAGGTTTTTTTTTCATTTTTAGAATTTTTTCTCATATATGTTTGAGCTCATTCACATCAGATGAAAAGGGAATTATGAATGGAAGTCTATTTTCATGCAATATTTTTCTCTTAGAAAAACTTCATAAATTCAAGTAGACTTTTAAATTCTTCAGAGAAAATTTTAAGGCAATTAAACAAGGTGTTTATGATGTAGTGCCAGCTGGCGCTTTGGCAAACATTACTGCTGAGGATTTGCGACTTTTATTATGCGGAACATTTGAGGTCCTTTTTGTTTATTATTTTTTAGATCCGATTTCCTTTGAATAGGCAAAATCTTTTTTTCCTAATTGCAGATTTTTGTTTTAGTTTCAATATTTTTAAGATAACAGTATCTGTGATGCAAACTTATACAACGTTTACTGATGAAAGCTCTTCAAAGCCTGAAATATTGCAAAAGTTTAAAGATTGGTTTTGGTCAATATGCAGAAAAATGAACAATCAAGAAAAACAGGTTTATTAATTAACCATTCCATCCAGATTTAGAAGTGATTTGCTAAATATGCTTGTAATTAATATCTAATTTACCTTTATCGAAGTCTATACTTCGATTTTTTAGAATCGCTTATGTTTTGTTTGGGGATCTATTTGCACCTGCTCAATTTGTTCTTCATTGTAATTATAATTTGTATTTTGCTAATGAATGTTTTTAATAGGATCTTCTTTTCTTCTGGACTGGTTCAAAATCTTTGCCACCGAGTGAAGAAGCATTCCAACCTTTGCCAAACGTTCTTATTCGACCAGCTGATGACCAGCATTTGCCTACTGCTAATACTTGTATTTCGAGGTTATTATTACCAAATTTATCTCGTCGCATTATACTTAGAGAAAAACAGGAAAAAAGTTCATGTTTTCATTGGGTTTTTGAACACCGCTAGATGTTTTATTTTTTACAGTTTTATTCATTTTAGGCTTTATCTTCCTCTGTATTCAAGAAAAAGAATTCTTAAAACGAAGCTTTTGATGGCAATCAAAACGACAAATTTCGGTTTTGTTTAATAACTTAGTCTCAGTATCGTAGATCGTTAACTGATCTGTCAATGCTTGACGTATTATTCTTGTGCCTTTAGGTGTATTGCGAAAATATCAGATATAATTAAATATTAATATATAGTCATCTTTTCGATGTCAGTATGGTACTTATAATTTTCCTGAACTACATTTTTTCCCGTACCTTTTTCTTATTTTCATTTCTTTTTCTGAAATATTTCGGGTACTTAATTATGTTAATTAATTATGTATTATTGTCTGAATCAATTTTCACTGAATTTGCATTTTGAGTTTATTAAAAATCCTATTCGAAATAGTCGTAACCCATGCACTTTCTTATTGAAATTTAATAGTTTTTCTAATAATATCGATCCAAGAATTTTGATAAATAATTTGATCTTTCTGGTAAAAATTTCTTTTAATGGATAAAGCGGGGCAATTATTTCATTTTATTTTATTTTGCATTAATTTAATTTTAATATTGGACATTTTCATCCGTTTTTTGCTAATTATTTCATGTCTATAAATTTGCTAAATTTTTGCGATAATATGTTGCTACCATTTTTTTTTATAAAGAAAATGAATTGCTTTGAAACAAGAAAACAAATAAAACTTTGAAACTTTGAGAATTTACCCTGAGGTGAAAAAATAATTAAGTAAATATTCATTTAGACAAAAAAACGAAACTGTTCAGCTAAAAAAATTTTTCAGAAAACAGATGACAAATCAAAACATGGCATACATCAATATTTATTTTATCACTATAGCTATTATCATATAAAATGTCAGATGATTATATGTTGACCTATTTGTCTAAATAAATTAACGTGTTTCGTGGAGTCAAAAATTTTACAGAGATTACTAATAAAAATACACCTAGCTAGCCATCTTTTGAAATTGGATTTCATAGAAAGATTGAGAATTAGAACTGATAACGATTATAACTCAGACAAACTGGACAAATTGAAAAAATGAAATATATCTCGTAAAAAAACGGAAAATCTTTCATCCATATTCACACCAACAAACACGAACGTTTCGTTATTCGAATGAAACAACAAAATGATGGTTTCCATAAGAAAAGGAAGGCAAAGAATAAATTTTGATAATTTTTTTGATAAATAATTCGATAGTATTCAATTATCAAAAAAAAGAGAAAAGAATTTTAAAAAAACAGGGATAACAATAAAATTTTGTGGGGAAATAATAATAAAGACTACGATAGGATTTTATCAATCAATTTTATCAACTTTATCAATCCACACACACACACACATAAAGAGAGAGAGGAAGAGAGAGAAATGGTAAAATGGTTACTTACAAATAGACTAATATTCCCTGAGAGATATAACAACAAACAAGCCGTATAACACCACGCATATGGACATACGTACATACATACATACATATATGTATATATATATATTTATATTTGTACATATATATATATATATATATATACACATATATTAGTGAGAAATTAGATGAAAGAGACTGAGTTTTACGCCTGAGGTTATAATCAAATAAACCGACAAAAAACAAACAACGAAAAAAACAATTTTACCATCTTCCCCTTCTTTTTATACAAAGATTAGACATGTGGTAATAGCTAGCAGCCCAGCACTCCAATTTTTGAGGATTATTCCTCCCCTCCCCCCTCATCCAAATGGTTCCTCCTAAATAAGCAAAAAACATCGATGTCACTGAAAGATTGATTATTCTTTTTATTGTCGAGTGAAAAAAAACAATGTGATAACACTAAATCAAAAATGATGGTAAATTTGTAATAAGTCTATTGAGGTATAATAAATTTTTAAAAAAAAATCCCTGAATAGTTTTAAAAAAACATAATAAAAAATAAAAAAATTTTAAACAACCGAAATATAGGTACTATAATAAAGATAATAATAATAATAACAATAATAATAATAGTAATAATAATAATAATAATAATAATAATAATAATAATAATATACACGTCGTTGGTGTCAAAGGTCAAATTTTTTTCCGATAACCTTTTTTTGTTAATCGAAATTTCCAAAAAAAAAGCTTCTCCGGCATATAAAATAAAGTACCATAATTTCGAACAATAAAAATATTTTTAAATACAAAAAATGACATTAAGAAATTCGTCAAATGTTCCATAGAAATAAAAAAACAGTTGAAAAAGGATAATTCGCTTTATTGTGATACATGAGTTTATGAGATAATATGGTTGATGAGCAGTTAAATAATAGTCGATTAGAGGTAGCAGTAATAGTAAATAGCCGATTAACCAACTTCCCTGAGGTATCAGTAGTAGTAATGGCCGATTAATTAACTTCTCTGAGGTAGTATTAGTAGCAATGGTAGAAATAATAATAGATAGTTGATCAACTTAACTGAGGTAGTAGTTTTGTTCCAACAAACCAATAAATAACCAATTAATATAACTGAGTTTGAATAGAGGAAAAAATAAACACGACTGAAAAAAATAAATAAACTCAATATCTTAAATGAACAAAATTCATAGTTATATAAATGATAATATGGCTTTTTTTATCAAAAAAAAGTACGTATTTACCACCATCCTTGATAAGATGTAAAATTGTTCTTTTCTTAAAAAACAACAAATTAACCTAAAAAAAAAAAGAAAAATTACTCTAAAATTTCATGAAGAACTCAATTAAGAGGAATTGTGATAAGGGTTAAGGTCCATTTTTAAAAAAACAACTAGCATACTAGTATATATTTTCTTTCTCAAATAAATTAGAAAAAAATAATAGGTAAGTATGACTTAGAGGAAAAATAAAATGAATGAAAGACATGAATATCCGGATTATTTACAAATAAGCAAGAATAGTACATTTTGAACATATATTTATAACTTCTTTCGATACTTTTCTTTCTCATGATAACTCTTATTGCCCCCTTTGCCACCACCCTCGCAATTATATCATTCATCTCCCATATCAATTACCTTATCTTTCAATGAAGAAATCTATTATTAACGAAAGAAGTTATTCGCTTCGAAATCAAATGGGGAAAAAAGATAGAAGAAAAAAAATTAATCGTATATTTTAATGCTTCGCTTCCAATAAATGTAAATTGAAAGTTATAGCATTTTTACAAATTTCTCCACAACGATTACACTGAAATGGATTTTCAAAACCGTGATATCCCATATGAAGTTGGAAAAGTATTCGATCATGAAACTGAATTTGACAGTGTGAACAACAGAAATTCCAATTATTTACTTCTTGATTTTTCAATTCCTGCAAATTACCATCGATGAAATTTCTTTTTCTTTCTTTTGATGCGCTTTTGCATTTTTTGCCAAAGTACCAGAAAGGTATTCTGCGAAAAGACAGAAAGAGAGTGAATGAATTCTTAGCACCACTAAGATTTCAATTTGAATAATGGATCTTCGAATACAAGATTATTATTAAATTATCAATATTAAAAAATCGAACTATAAGCAAAAAAAGAAATTTCTTAAAGAAGAATTGGATAAAAGTGACCTGTATTTGCTTTAAATATGCCTGTTGGAAAAGATTAAAACCGATAGCATCAGCATTCAATCCAATTGTTGATATCAACGATTCATTAATAGATGCATTTGATGAGCATGGAGTATCGTCGGTACCGCTTAAAGGTGCCATCACTCGATTATTATCCATTGAAAAATTTTCTTCAACATTCTATAAATAGAAAATTTTATACCTAGGCACCATAATAACTGAAGGTACATATATAAACATATATATATATATATATAAACATTAACCACTCGATGTTTATTCGATTTTATAAGAAATAATGGAAAAAATTCTAAACTTTAGGTGAAGGTATAATATTTTTTTGCGTTATAGTAGATCATCTGATAATAAAAAAATAAAAAGATTTTCTTGATCTGATAACGAATAATTTACTTTTGTTAAATCCTCGTTTTCGGGAGATTTCTTCTCTTCTTGTAATCTTGCTGAAATTCGATTTAATTTTAATGCTGCTTTACGTTTTCGTGCTCCCTTATCACTCATATGATCCTCACCCATTATTGCACCATCATCAACACTTCCCTTCGAATCCGATGTATCTAGTATTTTAATTAATTTTTATTAAATTCATTAAATATTCATTAAATTTTAAAATATTAATAAAGTAAAAATTAAAATACTAAGTACCATTTGATGACAAAAAAAAACAATAAAATACAATTAATTTATTCATAATTGCACATTTAGATTTCAGTTTTTTCAAGGAATTTAAATTGTTTCTAAAATATTTTCCCGAAATTCGATAAATTTTCATTATTTTTCTATCATTTTAAAAATTTTTGGGAAAAAATGAGATTTTTTACCAGATTGGATTTCCTCCTTAACCATTTCCTCATTGGAACACGAATCCGTAACACTTTCATTTTGACTTTCATTCATATCGCTTCTTTCAATTTTCGAAACATTTAATAATTTTGATCTAAGCAAAGGCAATAAATAATTATCTTTTTTATAATAAAATAAAATTCAATTAAAAAATATTTATAAATTTCGTCAATTTCAAATAAATTTCCTACATTTACGTTTTCGTGCTCCCTTACCACTCATGATCCTCACCCATAATTGTACCATCATCAACACTTCCCTACAACTTTAAATAAGCAAACGTGACCATTTTCTTAGAATTATATTTGGCTGCATTCTAAACTGAGGAAATTCAAGAATTTCTAGGAGAATTTATGATCTCTGATAAAAAAAGAAAAAAACTAACATTGATGGAATTAAAGGATTATTTAGTTGATTGTCGTTAGCATTCATTAGTAATGAATTGCATAATGTTGAGATTTGTTGCTCATTATTAATTTGCGTTTCCATGATATGCGTTAACTGATGATGATAATGTTCGGTATGATTTCTCGCTTGATGTCCACAAATCGAACATGATAAAAGTATATTATCATTTGAACTCAATCCATTTTTGAAAAATGTGAATGCATTCAACTGAAATATTTTATCAATCCTTAATAAATATAAATTTAATTTGTATTTTTTCAATACATCTTATAAATAATTATTTCATTAATTAATAAAGATTAATAAAAATGTTAATTATTGATGATTATTAACGCATGTTATTTTTAAATTTTTATTTAAAATTTTTATTTAAAATATCTAAATTAAATGAATATTTTTTTTGAAAAAAATAAATATAAAGTATATAACTGCATGCATAATAGGTTTATCAATCTTCAAGTAACTCGCTGATAAAATGGCCAAATATTTAAATCTATTAGATCGCTAAATCAGTAATGCCAAAAAAAACCCATAAGACAAGACAAAAAAAAATATGACAAAATATAGATATATATTCTTATAGAAGATTTATCATCATCACATGAAAAATTTATCACATGAAAAATTGTGCAAAAAAAGGAAAAACTTTACTTGCATAAGGTTTGCATAAATGGTATTTCAAAAGAACAACCACAATCATATTATCATAATTGGATTATAGTCTAAGCAAAAACTTAAACTCCTTATCAACAACAACTATCACCTCCTTTCTATTAATCTCATCTTTAACTGTTCATGCATCCATCTGCTTCTCCTAACATTACAAGTTAAGCTGATTCCATTGGCTACAAGGGTTTCAAAATTCATGCATCCATTATATATATTATATTTATTTTTATAATATATTTTATATATAATATATATAATATATAATATATTTTTTACATCAAAACTAACAGCATTATTATTCGCAGCAGCATTGTATAGCATATGAGAAGTTAAAGGATTTGCAGCCGTTAATGGATTGAATAAAAGCGGAGTGGCAGGTAATGAAGTTGGTGGCAAATTTGGTGTTTGAGGTTCCGAATCTATTTGATTTGGACTACTCTCACCAGATGGACCTTGTTGTGGGCTATCTGTAAATAAATTTTATAATCTATAAATAAATAGGATATTAAATATAAAGGATAAATAAATATGCACAATGCAAAAAAAAATTTTACAGAAAAAATTCGAATAATTTTAAAATAAAATTTGTAATTTTAAAATAATAAATTAAATAATTTTAAAATAATAAAATTCAAAAAATTACAAAAGTAGTGAAGAAAAAGATTTTAATAGAATCTTTTAAAAAACCGACCGTTTTGTTGTCGGTCTTCAACGGTGATTTCTTTACGAGTATGATTATACTTCTTGAGATGCAGCTTAAGGCTGTGACAATATTTTGTAGCATATGCACAATCTCGGCAACGATACTGATAAACATTCGTATGTGATTTCATATGCGAGTTCAACATCGATTTATTCACACACTGATAGGAACATTTCGAACATTGAAAAGGTTTTGCGCCCGAATGATTCCGCACGTGATATTCCTGGTAATAAAAAAAAAACGATATAAAGCTTGCCTTAAAGAACGAAATAGAAGCTCACCTTCTAATCAATTTTTACATTGGCTAACCCCACTGATTACTAGGATAAGGCCAACAGAGATGATTTAAGAACTGATTTCTTATCAGTTATTCAGGCATAATCTCTTACTAAAATTTCTATAGTCTTCTCAAAGGATAGAATTGAATATATGCTGTTTATTTTTAGTAATTTTTAGCCACATTCTTCCGAATAGTCCCCTTCGGAATAGACATAAATACCAACCAGATGATGTTTATATTCGGTGACAAAACCACACATTTGACAATTGAGTTGCTTCTCTCGAGGTATATGACTACGAGAATGCGTCCACTGCTCTTCTTTGGATGTACTTATATGAGAACATTGTTTGCACGTATACGTTTTAGGCTTATTAGATGAACGTCGTTCACCAACTGCACTTGAAAAACGTGACCCTTCAGGTGATGATGGGAGTGAAGATGTTGACTGTAGGATACCCTGAGTGAACAATGCTAAATCACGAGATGATAAATTATTGATAAGACCAGTATTATCAGTCAGAGCCTGGATTTGATCGAGAGCTGATGTCGGAATATCTGAATGTGATGATGAAATTACGGTTGTTGCATTTGTATTATCGCCAACTGACATTTCATTTCCACCTTCAAAGTTTACTGATTTTTCTTTCGATTGATCACCGTTTAAACCATTCGTAGCAGCATATTGTGCTGCGGCAAGATTTGCTGCTTCAAGCACCGATGTTATAGCTGTAGCGATTCCACTATCATAAGAAGACGAAGCTGTCGACGTACCAAACGATAAAGCAGATGGATCAACATCAAGACCAGCAGCTAACTGTTCTTCTATTGTATGTGAATCTCGCATATGCTTCTTGAGTCGTCCTTCAGTTCGTGAAGTATAGTCACACATTGTGCATTGATGATCGCTATGTGTGTTCATATGTGAATTGTAATGAAATTTCGATTGACAAGAAAATCCACAAATATCACAACGAAAATGTGGTAGAGAAGAAGATGGAAGATCAGGCGATGATGATGGACCTAAACCTGGAGCTCGCAAAAATGAACAATTCGTTGTTGGAGGTGGCTGCTGTTGTGTGGTTGTTTCTTCAGTTAAAACTTCAGCTCTATCACCTGATTTATTAATTGATGCTCGTAAACTCTCCAATAAGGATGGTTTGTTTGGAATAATGAAACCAACACATGAATCGCCCTCCATGATATGATCTGAATCTGTCGTTGATGACTTAGAACATGAAGGTTTACAATTTAAAGCAGCGTGCAAATTCAACTGTTGCTCTTTCCTCCTGAAATTGTTTTCTTCAACTAATAATTCTTCACTCATTTTTTAAAAAAAAACTCACAAACTCATAATAAAACAGAAAAAATCCATAAATCCTACCTTTCTTTTTCGATTTCTTCACGAACTGATTCCTTATCATCTAATTTATCATCGTTGCCGGCCAACTTAACAATTGAATCTTCAACTGTTTCCATTAACTCACAACGCACACCACCAATATCTGATTGAAGTTCGGGTTTATCGAGTAAATCTGCAAATATTTCAAATGTTTCACATGTACTTTCCCTTATACTCTTTCTCCAAAAGAGTTCACCATTTCTGTTTAGAATTCTCACCCAGTTGGTTTGTCATATCAAACAAATTCTGCTAGTCATATGGTGATAAAACTACAGGTGGATCGCTAAATCATCCTTATATTACTGATTGTGTAAAGAAAAATTACGGATTATTATTTATTTAGAAGACCGCCACTATTCAGATCACTCCAAATAACTTTCTTCTAACAGTATGTATCCTTTTCGATTTTGACTGCCCTTATTGATCATAGCCGACTGCCAAGTAAATATATGAAGGAAAAGGTATAAGTGGATTCTCATATAGCATCCGGATTTCACTTTTGATGACAGGTTTACTCTCAACAAGAAACAAGAACTGAACCCATAATCTCAGTTGAATCTCAGTCGCATCATTATTTTATAAACAGGAAAAAACTTACGAATGTCAAGAATTGATTTCATTCTTGGCTGATTAATAACACTTTGAAAATCATCGATATCCATATTTTCATAGGAATTACTACTTCGTTGACCAGAAGATTGTCGTTTCTCATGTCCGGAAGATTCATCTAAATTTATTCGATTTTCCTTTTTGATTTCCATGTCTTCTATCATGCTATTGTTCGTTGAACCAGAGGATACTGATGAAGTAGGCTGCGTTGATGTTTTATCAAAACCTACCTGACTCACTGACAAATTAATCATACCACTATTATTCATATCTGTATCAAGTAATTTTCCATGAATGGCCTCAGGCTTAATCAATCCGCCGAATGTATTAGATACAACTGGATTTGCGATTTGTTGATTTTCATTTGCTAACGGTATCGACTGTGTTGGCGGTACTGAAATAGGATGTGCCGTTGCAGTTACTCCAGTAAGTTGCTGTTTCGAAATAGATGAAGCTGCTTGCTCAAAAAGTTGCCGTAATGCATCTTGTTGTAGCAAAAAATTTGGTGTTGCTTGCTGGCTATTTGGTGACAATAGATCCAAACTACTTTGGGATGCGACCACTGCTGCTGCTGCCGCTGCTGCAGCTGCCGCAGCAACTGATGACGATGGTGATAACTGATGGTGAAAAATATTTCTTTGCTGTCGCTGTTGTTGTTGTTGTTGTTGCTGTTGTTGCTGTTGTTGTTGTTGTCTTGCGGCTTCTTCTAATAATCTATCCGACCAAAAATCCATTGAACAACCATTTTTATTAGAAGCAGCTAATTTATTAAGTTGAAAATTTTCCAATAATTTTTGAGGACTTAGAAAAGTTGAATTATTACTTAAACCAATTGGTGAGGTGGTATCACTTGTAGACGATGCACTACCACTAATCGTTGTTGTATCCTTTGCTGGTGAACTTAACAAATTTATTTGTGTTTGTTGTTGTTGTTGTTGTTGTTGAAGATTCAATGAATTGTATAGAAAATGACCATTACCGGATTGATTCACAGGAAAACTGCTTATAGCTGATGAAAAAGAAGACATCGTAAATCCGTTCGACTGAGTTGGATTTGATAATGCTGAAGGAAAAGTTGGCGAAATTTGTGTTATTACCTGAAATGAATTATTTATAGATAATATAGATGATAATATTCAGAAATATTCATTCAAAACAGGTGTTCAATGTTCCAATGTTTAAAGGATAGGAAACGAACTTTCGGTGAATATTCACAACTACGGATCTTTTATTAGGTAGAAAATTCGGGCAACAATTGCCTCTTGGAAAAAAAAATGATTGTGTTTGCCAAAATGATAACGGTAATGGAACAATACTTGTTGTTGTTGTTGCTGTTGCGTAGGTGATATTGTTGAAGTTGATGATATTTGCGGTATTGCAGTACTTGTATGCCATTCCCCTTGTTGATTATTATTATTATCCGCGTTGTTTCGTTCACCATAATTATCCATACCACTTAGAAATTCCTGTAATAATCAAACCATGCAAAGAAAATGCTAGATAAAAGTGATAAGATGATAAAGGTAGTGGATATGCTAAACGACTTGACATGGACGATCTTGTTAGTGATAGTTTCTTTCGACTAAGACGAATCGGTTTATTTATTGTGTATTTGTGGTAGTTGTGATCAAAATTAGTCTAATGACTGATAAAATTGATAAGAAAATGATAAAACGAACCTCATTAAATTTTCCTTTTTTCCTCTTCTTCGCTTATTACAACTTTTTAATATATTTTGTTCAACTTGCAAAATATCACTGAAAATAGAATTCTTTTTTAGATATATTTTAAAAATTTATTTAAATATGTAAAACGATTGTTGATATACGTAAAAATGAATTTAAAAAATAAACAATAAAAATTTTGCGATGAAAATTCGAAACGAGGAGAGATTTTGAATATTGCACTTAAACAGTGGAATTAATTAATCCCGAATATCCTAAGTCTTGCAAACATTTTCTAACCAGCTGGCTAAACCAGAAATGCCAAACCGGAAATAATGTCAAATATTGTCAGAAGTGACCTTGCAACCTTTATCTTTTAAAAAAAAAATACATCGTAAATGATTAGGCCTTTTAAAAAAATAAATGAAGAAGAAGTGATCAATCTTCTTCCAGATGTTTCAGCAAATTAGATGGATGAGTGAATGGACAGATGGATGGAAGTATGGAACGATGTATAGGTGGTGCATAGATGGATGAATGGATCACTGATCAAAAAAATAATATAATCAAAAAAAAGAACGCAGATGTTTAGTTTCATAGTTATTTTCACGGTTACCCAAAATTAGTTTGGGTCCAAACATATATACCAAATGCTTGGCATTATCTACAGGAATATCTGCTAAGACCCTAGATTTCTTAGAAAATTGTGGAGAATAATAAGGCCAAGATTTCATGGAGCTTCTTCATCCAGATAGAATAAACAAGTTTCAGTTAACGAGATACTGTGGTAGTAGATAAGAACCATAAATCGGAAATGGTGTTAGATATAGCGAATATAGCAAGCGACAGGAATGTTAGTAAGAAGAAATATGAAAGATAGCCAAGAGCTGAAAGAGAAACTAGAGAAGAGTGGCAAGTGAAGGCCAAAGTAGTACCAGATGATGATTAGAACATTTGCAACTAGAAAACCAGAAAAGTACGCAGCTGAGATATCACGCAGAGCCCTCAATCTATTAAGCCTCCCGCAGAGGATCCGAGGTTGAGGATAACCCATATCACCCTTCAGGCAATAAATAAGCGATTCGTAATGCTTATACTTTTCTTCATTTTCCCCTATTTCAAAAAAAACTTGTTTTTCTCCTCGATTTCAATTCCAAAAATAAAGAAAAGAAACTATTTATGAAATGAAAACGTTGTAAAAGAATTTAAAAATTAAACATTTAATCAATTAATAAATTAATTTTTTTCTGTAATTAGTGTAAAAAAGCAAATTAGAAAGAAAAATATTATAAATTATAAAATAAATAAAATCTTATAAAAACAGAAACGGATTTCAAATATTCACGATATATTTTCAGTTATTGGCCTCGAAAAAAAAAGCCTATCACTTGAAAAAATTTAAAAAGTATTGAGGAACCAGTTGTATTTCCATCGCATCGTAAAATCTTTCTAAGATGAAAGTATCTCATATTAATAGCCAAACAGCCAAATAGCCAAATAGCCAAATGGCCAAATAAGACATTAAAGCCTAACCAGAAATAATATTAGCGAATAACAACTGCAAATGATAAATACCACTGATTAAAATTTAGCTTTAATAGAAAAATAAATCAAACTAAATGAGATAAAAATGATATTATATGATGTGATATATCTACTTGTATTAAAAGAAGAAGAAATGATATTAAAGAGGGTTAAGTTCATTTAAAAAGTTCATATAATTTCTAACAGATTATCATCAGTGATAAGGACAGTGATAATAACTGATAACGAATAGATGAACTTGATAATAAACAT